ACCCACTGTAGCATAGCTCGAACACTAGCGAGCACGAATTGCAAAATTCCGACGGCCGGTCCGGATTCCGCACTGGGACGTGCTTCGGCTTTGAGTCCACACTCTAAGGATTAACGGATGTCAACATTAGTGGGAAATTTACGCCAACAGGGCTCTACTCTAGGGCATGCATAGGGTCGCGCTGCTTGGGCTGTTTCAACTTTTCAGTGAACCAACACTTGACGAAACGCTTCAAGGGGCCATGTTTTAGCGTGGCGCCGGCCGAGGCAGATTCCCTCGAATACCCGCACCTTCAGGGCCTATGGTCTTCTAGGAACGGACGGCAGTGAGTGACTGTCTGCCCGCTAATGTTGGAAATTGCGGCAACAATTGCTCTTGTGAGACAAAGCCGATCTGATGCCAAAACCGGAGCTGCTTGGGTTGTAGTGGTTGCGCCTACAAGTTCATGAGCCGTGAAGCAACTTGGCCCGGCATGCTCTGTATGGGCTTATTGACAACTACACTAACATTTTTTGGTGAATGGCTCAGCATTAAGAGTTGGTCAAGGTGGACAACATTGTCTTACAGCACCATTCGCCCAGTAAGCAAACTGATTAACGCTTTGTTTCTGCTGCTCCAGGACACCCGGAATCCTGCCCCCACTGTGTAAATGAGGTCCCCGACCCGGATTGTTTCTTGTTACGCAATGAAAGTGATAACACAGAACACATCTCATCTTATGCTAATGGCAACCGAGTGGACGGAATACGCTTTTTGTCCCCCCTTCACTGGCCTGTCTGTAGAGTGAGGATCACGGTCAATGTTATGCTAGGCTTCTGCCAAAACCTTCATATCGCAGTTCTTACTGAAAAGGAGATTGGCCGTGGTGTAGGTTACCACTTACGGACAGACTTTTTTGACCGCCTTTGGGGTCGGACGAAAGCGACGCTAGAGGGGAGCTGGGGCTCTTCCTGTTCAGGGCAAGTCCTGCAAACAAGATGCTGACCACGCATGATACGATGGGAGGTGCGGCCGGGCTTACGGGGACACTTGTCTACGATGATGTACATCATCAATCCACCCACGACCGCCGCCAACCACAACCACCACCATCCACCATCATCCTTCTCCGCACCCTGCTGCTGTGGTAAGGTAGCAGTAATCGCTCCTTGCGGCAGCGCGCGTAATGGTGGTGGCCGTCTGAAAACCCAAAGAAAGACCGAAACACCCCAGGCCATGGCCGGGGAGGATGTGACGATGCGGTCATCGCCTCCCAATAACAGGGCAGACTCGGGGTGTGTTCTGCCCAGCATCTCCGGGGGTGGAGTGGCATACCGACGACGATGACGGCGGAGATACACCTTGGGCGCTCAAGCTCAGGCGTACTTCATGTGCGATGGATGTCATACTGCGTGAAGTAGGTATCGTCACAAGCACAAATAGGCGGAGGCCTTCAATCGTGATGCAGTTGAGAGCAAAAAGCCAATACCAAGATCTAAGCTACCCGTTAGCTACCTTAGCACTGGGAGAAGCAGCATGTGTGGTGGATGACGCTTGAAGCGACAGCGGGATAAGGCTGTGCAGACTTATTTCGAGATCCAGTTGTGCAAATTGGCCGAATCAGTGGTGACGCTGCGGGTCTACATGATGCCAGCCACAACTCAATTGGCCCATGCTAGAGAGTACTTAGGCCGCTGTGCCACAATGCCATGTCCGTTTGCCAGGCACTGGGAGAGAGCAACAGAGCACCTGTTAGCGTTGATTAGTGGGAGGGAGCACCACCATGACAGCGCACTACCGATTGCTGCTCCTCGCTGCGGTCCACTGTCCTGGATTGGGTGTAGGTTAATCGTACGCAGCACAGCACAATACAACGCAACACAGGTGCACGTGTGAGCCTGTGGTGTCGTGCTGTGGTGTGGTAGCGTCGCTGGCGTAGTGTACTGGAGAATTAAAAATAGGAAAGGCTTCGAAACCAGCAGTCCACAGAGCCTCCACCAAATCGAGCCATGGCTTGCTGTACGATGCATCTGGGTTGTCCCCTCCTGTCTGGCAGGCGTACTCGGGGAAACGAGAAGAAAATGGAGGCTTGTGACCCCTTCCCTCGAGATGTCGTATTCGAATCAACACAACGATGGTGTCACCTCTGGGAAATTTTGACTGTATGGGGAAAAGCCAACTCCGCGACGATGCATGCAAATATGCCCATGCTACGAGCAGGCAGTCATTTCTCACCAGGCTGTCGGTATGCCGAGCGAGTGTTTGGATGCCGCTAGACAGCTTCTACCAGTTCAATAATTAGAGTTGCGCCAGAAGGCTGTGACACAGAGACCCTTAGGAGATGAGTCCAGATGCGGACCTGTGATTCACTCGGCCGCAACGAAGGGTGGGAGACATGATGAGTCCCTTGACGGCGTAGCGGCAGACGGCCTAGGGAGCATGCTCCGAACAGGGTCTGTCAGATATGTTGGGGCTTTCACGATGTTTCTAAGATGACAGTGAAAGTGTTTTTGGCAATCTCACGGTCCAGGCATGACCCGGGGACGCCTCTGTTAGTCTCGAACCCGCCCATATCGAATTTCAGGGGACGGAAGAAGCAATGAGAGACCCCAGGAGGCATGCCTGCCTGGAGAGAGAAAAGGCTTTCAAAACAACTGATCCGCTTGAGAAACATGTGGCCGCCGGCACATCGCCTTGTCTACGCCCAGCCATGCCCTCGGCCTGTCTCAACCGTGTTTCTAGTCTCTCCCATTTCGAGGACCTCCTTCTGGGCCGGGGACGAGGAGATGGGATGATATGGCAGGTTGGTTCGACCGCAGTCCACTGGCAAATAGGTCGTGGTGCTGTACCTACCGGCACGGAGGGCGCCTGCACAGTACATGACAGAAGTACCCACGCCAGATGAGACCCAGGCGAAGGCTCAGTCAATCGCTGGGACTGGACACCTCAGGGATCACGACGACTGCCTTGCAGGGGTCTGGAGGGAAGATTGGGTTTGGTGCTCGCGGGATCTTTTCCAATGAACGCACGAGGAGATGAAGCGACTCCGAGGTGTCTGAGTACTATCGGGCTGGTGACTACTTACCCTAGTTCCTGTTCCTCGTGGGTTTTGCTGTGGGGGGGGATACCCGAATTTGCTGTCGTCGACGCTGTCCAGCGGTGGCAGTGATGACTGACTTCAACCTAGTAGGTCTGCTTAGGGTGCTCGGCGGAACATCCGGTGCACTGTGGGTAAGTGACTGACTGACTGACAGACGAACAGACCAGACAATTTTCATCATATCTGGTTCCCATTCCCCGCGCGGACGATGACCTGCGCCAGTCTTAGTCGATTAGGCGGTGGGTGCGTGTAGCGCCAGGAGCAGAGCGAGTATCCCGAGGTCACCGACAGCTCCACCGCTGAATTGCCTACTACTGGGTGATAGCGGTGTCGCTGCTGGACGCGGGTGCCCTTTTCTGCACCGGCAGGACCCTGTCTCTCTGACAATTCCACCGCCGCCTACCCTCTCCGCTCCGCCAACACGCTGAGTTCGTCCACTAAAACAGACTCTGACTGCCACACCTCGCACACGAGCCTAGCAACAGCAGAGTTGGTTGATGGGATAGCCTCTCGCACTTGGGCCTCTCCGGGCATGTTTCTCTTATAGTCTCTTCTGGTGGCGGCCATTCTTGTGTTTTGTTCCCCAGAGTACGAGGAAAAGTGAAGAGTCCTTGGGAAGTCCCCAAGCGGTCACGTTCTGCAAGGCAGAGCGGCCATCAACATTAACATTAACATTACCATCACCATAAAGCAATAGCAATGTGCGTGCGTGTGACAGAAAAGAGAATCATTGCTCGAGGTACATCAGATCCTCCACATATCTCGCTCCCCCAATGCGTGTTCCAGTTTTTGGGGCCCTCTTTTCCTCTTTCACGCGCCTGGAGGCCGCGGGATCGACACAGCGTCAGAAAAGTACTCCAGAGGGATACATTGGAGAGTTACGTACCGGCAGAAAGTCATCGCATCCACATCCCAGGTCAAGTCTCCACTCCACCATCCATGTCCAGCACAGCAGCCCTTGCTCTCCTCGCTCCCCTGTCTCTTGGCTTGAGACCCCTGTCAGCACCGCGGTCCCCAGGACAGGGCTTATACTCTACGTACCCATCCATGTACCTCTCCGAGTACCAAGTAGCTACGTACCTTTCTGGGTACGTACCTGTGATGTGCTCTGCCTCCTTCGGCCCTACGACAGATCCAAGCCATCGACTGGGCTCCTCCATATGGGGCCCTCTTCCAAACCTCCAAACTACATAAAATACCGGCCCCCATTCCACCTCCCACAGGATGTCCTCTTTCTGCCCCATCTCGCGCCGTCATCTCCTATCCCCTTTCTTCGGTATAGAGAGATACACTACTGCTTGACACTTCACGAAGGACATCATACAACTGTGTCTTGGGCTTCTATATCCCAAGTCTTCGTCCCTCGTTTCCACTCTCATACGCACTGCTCATACCCAGAACTCACTCATCCCCCCGCGTGTCCCTAAAGTCAGGAGGAAGGGGACGATCAGAACATTACAAGAGTCTAGGAACAACAGTGCCAAGAGTTCGAAAGGAAAGATTATCCGTTGTGCGATCTGCTGGAGAAACAAGTCGACCTACAACACTCACATCGTCACGACTGGATAACCATTAAGTAGCTAACACGCGACTGGCATATTTACACGACGGACATTTCCCCCCGTATCCGCCTTCAACCCACTAGGTGATCCACCAACAGCTTGCTGCTCAGTATTGATCGAAACGGCTTCGCAAATCCTCACTTCGAGATCTTTCTGACTCTGCTTGGAATGAGATTTCCAGCGGGTCGGCAATAAGGTCCAACAGCGTTTCTTCCGTGCCGGTCTGATCACCGGGACTAACATCAACTTCCAACCTAAGCTCTCACTTGGGGGCCTTGCTTGGAGTTGTTGATCAACCACATACACAAATTCACCACGGCGCGCATAACATGGCCACAGTCGAACCACAATCTTTCAATATGTTCCCGAGGCATATGTCCAACGACCCCGAGGACTTCAACACGCACTACCCTGAGCCTCCCCAAGGCGTTGCAACATTCGGACCCATTGATATGAGCCTATACCCGCCAGCAATGGGGTTTGACTCCAATGGCCTCTATGTCGAACAGCAGCCAACATTCATGTTCGACAGCAGAATGTCGCCTGGCATGTACCCCGAGGATGGCGAGATGCGAGTACCGTCCTCCAACCTCTCCAATGCCTCCATCCCCTCGGCACCATCGTCAGCAGTCGGCTCGCCGCGATCGAATCACGGCCAGCCAGCACCCGTCCCTGGATGGCCTGGTCCGCACATGGGCATGAGCCCTGGCATTGTAGGCCAGACTGAGTACTTCGCGAACGGAACCGAGTACTCTTTCGCAGGACCAGGTATGGATGACTTCCCGCCTTTCGCCTTCACAGACACCAAGCCTCCTGGCTTTGTTGGTGAGTTGTCGCACCCTAGATCCTCTTCAAGTCTTTCTCGCAACCCATCCGGCTCTGTTTCTTCTTCTGTCTCATGCGAGTCTTCTACCACTGCAACTGCTCCTGGCCTGGCTGTCGACACGCAGCTTGCCAATGCTGCGGCTGCGTCGCCAATTTCACCACCAATGTCCAGAAAGTCCAGCGTTGCCTTCACGTCTCCCACATCAAATTCTTCTTTTTCTTCTCCTCCTGCGCCGTCGTGGTGCAGCCCGACCACACCACGCCTGGTTCCTCATTTCTTTTCTCAAAGTAGCGGTCATTTCGTTGCTCCTCTAGAGTCTTCTTGTTGGTTTCCTAAGTCGATGCTCCAGCCGCAGGACTCAAGGCCATGACGCTAACACGATTTGTGAATCCAGATCCTTCTCTGATCCATCCCGAGATCAACCGATCCATGGGGATCCAGTATGACAACACCTTCCAACCTCCAAACTCGGCCTACCCCACTTCGCCTGCGCTCACCTCTTCCCCGCAAATCCGCACCGGGTCTACGAGCCCTTTCATGCCACCTAATAGTAATTACCACTTCAGCCCTTATCCGGCTCCCATGGACCAGGGTCGCCGTCCGAGCATGGTCTCATTCCACTCCAGCTATTCAGCAGAGCAACCATACAGCGGCGACGAGTCCAAGGAGAAGCAGAGATGTCCGCACCCGGACTGCGGCAAGACCTTCAAGGACCTGAAGGCGCACATGCTCACACACCAAACGGAGCGCCCCGAGAAGTGCCCAATCCAGACATGCGACTACCACATCAAGGGTTTCGCGCGCAAATATGACAAGAACCGTCATACGCTCACCCACTACAAGGGTACCATGGTCTGCGGCTTCTGCCCTGGCTCCGGTTCAGCGGCTGAGAAGTCGTTTAATCGCGCAGATGTCTTCAAGCGCCACTTGACTGCCGTTCACGGCGTCGAGCAGACACCGCCCAACAGCCGAAAGAAGACGTCGCCCTCTGGTGCCAACAGCGGCAAGAAGCTGACAGGCTACGCACCGGATGCCACTGGCAAGTGCTCCACCTGCTCGCAGACCTTCTCCAATGCGCAGGACTTCTACGAGCATTTGGACGACTGTGTTCTGCGCATTGTTCAGCAAGAGGATCCCGCCGAGGCCATCAACGCCAAGAGGCTCGCAGAGGTGGAGAACGACCGGGAGGTACACCAGACCTTGGAGAAGGCCAACCTGCCCACAACCACCCAGACCTCCTCGGCATCAGAGGATGACGAGGATGATGATATGGGTGAGGATGAGGACGCCATGGGTGAGGAGGACTTCAAGGCCCTCGGCATCAAGACCTCTTCCCCCACCAAGAAGATCAAGGGCAATCCGGTCAATGGCGTGCAGAAGTCGCGAGGCATGACGCACTCGCGCGGCGGTGTCCCACTCCCGGTCAAGACCCGGGGTCGCAAGAACCGCAAGGACTATCCCTCGTCATGGGGCTTTGACAAGGGCCAGATGACGATGAAGAAGCGCGTCATGGCTGTCTTCGACGGACCCCGTCGTCTGGCCAAGGATGACATGATGCTCTCCACCGAGCACGAAGTGCGCGTCAAGCTCTCCGACGGCAAGGCCTACGTCACGGACCTGGACGTCCAGACTCTGAAGCGCGCCGAGGGCTTCCTTGGCGCAACTGATGAGGAGAAGGGTCCGTGGGTCTCGGACGACCCGACTGACGAGGAGCTGAAGCAGATGCTTGATTTCAAGCCTCTTCAGCAGTAAATATTCTCACCTTTCTTTCCCCCACCCCCTCACAATATAAACCATATACATCACACACGCAAACAAACAAACAACACCCGCGGGAAACAATCACCGGGCCTGGGCGGGCCCAATAATGACGACTGAATGATGAACCAATACCACAGCAAACATCAAAGGTCAAGGGAATTTATATATCCAAAAGGGGAAAAAAGTGTATCTGGTGTCGGGAGCATTGGAACGGCGCGATGTGATAACTCGGGACACTCTTACTTTTTTTTTTTTTGATTACGACGGAATGTGAGGTTTTCTCAGGGCGAGACTCACTTATGACATATGTGCCACTGGGCACCGGGATCTGTGAATTGTTTTCATCCTGAATCCTCTTGTTTTCTACATTTTACTTAAATCACCGCCTTGGCGCTGGCTGGTGTGAACGATACCCTGTTTTTCTTCTTGTCCGCGGGAGTGTACTGTACTCCTACTGCTTCTCCTCCACATCTGTATCCCGTTATGATATTAAAGCTGTTATAAAGAAAGATCTCTTTCTCTTCAAACTCTGAACTGTTTCGTCCCTTGCTTGCTCTTGTTACCTCGTGTCGATTCTGCCTCTTCCTATCTGGCTTTGACTGTACTGGTTCATTCTGGTAATGCAATGGATGGGACTGTAGATACCCAAGGTAGATGCCACAGTGCGGCTTCTGTAACGGCAGGGACGAAAGGGCGGGCACTTGGGATGGTGATGGGAGTTAATGGTGGTCAGCCAACCAAGTAAAGTAATTGCCGAACATGGCAGACGCCTCGAAATCAGAGTGCGCGTATAATCAAGTACATGATTCTAAAAACAAGCATCAATGCCTCCTTGCTCAATGTGACTCGAATCGGTTGATGATCACTTGCCCGTCTATGAGGCCCGCATCTCACTCACTCACTCCACCAACACTTGATCCTCCGAGTGAGACCAAGGTGACGACCCCGGGGCGCCCATCCTGCCCTGCCCGTCCGTCTCATACAGCTCCAGTACAGTAAGACGGGTCCATTTCGACATCAAGCGGTGACAGAGGGCAAAATGCGCTGCCCCTCCATCATCATGAACAGCCCCTCTGTAAAAATTTCGTAAGTAGCGACGGGAGGGTACCTGACAGCAGTGATCGCATAGGGCGCTTGGGGGCCGGAGCCGCCGTTAGTGGGTTCGTGTGGTGCGCTGTGCTGTGCTGCGCTCCCGAGGTCCACTGTTATAAATAGGGTCCACCGCTTTTGTGCTGCGCCTGCCCGTGAGGCGGTGCTCACGACACCCGCGAGGCAGTGCCTGTGCATGTGCCTGTGCATGATTCAAGCCCTATGTTCACGCCATCATTTTTAGCTCCTCAGAAAGAAGGAAAAAAACAACGTCATTGCTCTGCTCTGACGGGCTCTCCTTGCCGCAGGCCTCGTGCGACCCTTGCTGGAGGAGCGGAGCGGTCCCGTTCTTTTGTTTCTCCTAGGTACCGTGTGTTTTAGAGGGCTCAGCCGCCCCCGGCCGGGAACACTAAGCAGTTAAACTTCCAGATCGACTGGTACACCACGTTTCGGGCCCGGAAGGGGGCGCAGCGCCTCCCGGAAGCAAGTGAGACATCGGAGGGCCGGCCGGCAGGCATTATTCGGTGGAGCGGCTCCGACACAATGTCGCTGATCTCCCGCATCTCGCTGACCGGCCCGCCCGCCGAGGATCCGGAGGACTTCTTGGGCAGCTCGCTGGGCGTCGTCTTCCCGGACGACGTGACCAACCAGCACGGTGACGCCGACCACGGCCTATCGTACTCGTCGCCGCACCTGCCCAAACCGCTACTGATCAGCCTTGCTGAGCCCACCGCCGAGGAGGACCGTAGGCTGTTTAGTCATTACCTATGGAATTCGTCCCTGCTGCTGGCTGAGTTCCTCGAGGCGGGCACTTTGAAGTTGTCGGGCAATGAGGCGCCGCAAATGAGGGGCTTCGGCCTCCCTTTTGAAAAATTCAATGTCACGGGCCTGTCAACCATCGAACTCGGCGCTGGAACAGCTCTGCCGTCCATCATGGCGGCGCTGCTAGGTGCAGGCAAGGTCGTTATCACGGACTATCCGTCCCCTGTCGTACTAGATACTCTGCGCGATAACGTCGCTCGGAATGTTGAGCTATCCTTCTCACCCCTGAAGTCCGTCTCGCCGGTCATAGTCGAGGGTCACGAATGGGGAAACCTATCGACGGCTCTCGCGGAAGGCAACAAGCATGCCTTCGACCGCGTGTTCGTCTGCGACTGCCTGTGGATGCCGTGGCAGCACACTAACCTACATAAGTCCATTTCCTGGTTCCTTAAGGACACGCCCGAGGCGAGATGCTGGGTCGTCGCTGGTTTCCATTCGGGACGGGAGAAGATGCGCGAGTTCTTCGGCGCGGACGCCCTGGCCAAGGAGGGTCTGGAAGTCGAGCACATCTACGAGAAGGAGTGCGACGGCAAGGAGCGAGAGTGGGCGTGGGATCGTGGGTATGAAGAGATCGGCATCCGGAAGCGATGGCTCGTGTCTGCTTCCCTGAAGCGGCTGGGTCGTGGTTCCGGGGAGAGGTGACGAAGGTCCTTGTAGATTTTGACTGTCTGGAGGTGGGTAGCCATAGGTTTATGAACTGAACCGGCCCCATGGGAGACACCAGGCCAGTCATATATAAGCTCGGGTCAAGTTTCCCCGTCGCAACGCCATGATAGCAACGCTACCAGCTCCGCACCGTATGACAATTCCGACTAGCCGATATAGAACTCGACCGTTGGCGCCATCGCTGTACTACGCGAGGGCTCTATTGACGCTGTCGGTGCGGCTGAGGGTGTGAACCATGTGCAATTGGCTAGGACGGCGCCCGTGGCGCTCTTGAATCCCACCATAGCGGAGTCGGACAGTAAGAACCGCATCGGGAACGGCTGGTCTTCGCATCGAGGTTGATAGGAATCGGCCGATATTTGTCAAGTACAATACGAGCTATGAGAGATGAGCTAGCATTGATAGAACGGAGGTAGTATGTGTGATGCTGCCAAGCTTTGTGGCAGTGGTCTAGAAATATAAGAGCATTCGAGTTTCCTAGAGCGACCTAGAACTCGAGGAGTATCGTAAATGAGTATTGTGTCACATCCCAGCAGCGCCAGGCCGAAAGTGGTATCATTCGGAACATATTGACATGAATCCAAGGCAGATGACCACCAGCCGAGGCATGATTGGGTAGGGTTATTATAAAGGAGAGACTTGAGGTACTTCCCTATTCCAAACATACTTGATAATATTACCACGGCAGACTCGGTGTTCTGGGTAGGAGGAGGCACTGGACTGTGCTCTCCTGAGAGTGGTCTCAGTTTGTTGATGCTTTTGCTTCGACGGCAATCTCCTTGTTGTTATGACAGGATCTCAATCTTGGAATATAAATCTTGGAATATCGCCGTTCCTTGCACCTAGTTTCTTGCACAATTAATCCGAAGCGGTGTCTTCAGCAGGCGCTAGGTGTAGTTCGATCGCATATTGAAATGTGAGGTGGTCCTTGTTCCTTGATGGTGTCAACCCTGCTTATCGAAAGGCCGTCGCGAAGTTTTTGTAGTTCTGGTGCCAACGAATCCATGTCTATTCTTCTCTTCAAACGATGATATTGTTTGCGTTTGAAATGTTGCAAACGGAAGAAACCAATGGTCGAGGCGTACGTCACACAGCGCTTATTTTTAGCAAACAGCTCGATAGCCTCGACATCCATCAGGGAAGGCGCGACAGACAGCAGCGCATGTCTCTTGCTCCTGCCTCAGCCATGCGGATTATTTCGTCCTGAGTATAGATCGGGCGGCGCGGAAGATTCCCGAGAGGAACAACAGTGAATATGGACGGCCACCACGTCTCATGGCCGAAACATTGTCAGTCAGTCATCCGATTCTATCACTGGATTCACGCTTAGTATAAATATCAGTACGATCGCGTTTATATTCTTCTCATCGTTTTTACGGACAAGTCGACGGGCGCTTCTCGCGAGGATCTTCCACCTTCTGCAGGGAGCAAGACCGTACTTATGAAGCACACTGACTTCATCAGCCACGACCATCGCTGGAGAGAACCGATACACGAACGAGCACTGATGATCGGCCAAAATGTGCTATATCGCGATCCTCTATTTCGCTTGTCAATGTAGGGCAATGTACCACGTCTACTGCGACAAAGGTGATCCTCCTCCGTTCCTCTGCGAAGGCGACGATCGACACTTAGTCGCCAAGTACATCTACGGAGGTCGATGCGAACAATGCAAGGACAGGGCTTGGGTCGAGGAAGGTGAGGAGCGAGAGTGTCACCTCCAAGATCAGTTGGAAGATCTTCGCGTAGAATGTCTTCCTAAAGACCAGGAGAAGAAATACCATGAGAACATCGTCAAGAAGCACAATATCCAAGAACGATTTGCAGAGGACAAGCTCGAGAACGAGAGCGACGACATTGACTTCACTGTCGAGTGGGTCAAAGAGCACTTGAATGCGGTTTGGACTGGCAACGAGAAGGCTCTCAAGAGATTGGGTTATATGCAAGCATGCGACATGAAAGTTCGGCTCAACAAAGAGCTGAAGAAGCCAGAGGGTTTGCAGAAGAAATCCAAGCCGAGAAATACACCGATACCCACGGGTTGGCAGAAGTTTGTGTTGGACAACGCACCAGGTCCTTCTACAAGGTCTGTGACGCCTGGGCCAGAATTGCCGTCGAGTCATGGGGAGGTTTCGGTACCGGATAATGAGGCAGCACCTCAGGAACCCGATTTTGAGAACGAACTTGATGATGCGGAATATAGTGGGAAAGGCAAAGGCAAGGAAGTTGCCGCACGGAATAGACAAAAGCCATCAATCAATTGAGGTTGTCACTACGAGGAGAAGCTTGACTACCAAGGCTGGCCAAAAACTTTCGAGTAGCATGAGTATTAGCATAATACTCAAGTCATCCTTAAATTGACAGAAATTTGTAGACTTGCACGCTTTTCTTACTCGGAGTGGTCATTGATTGCTCTGTGTTGGCATTGCGATGCCCCCTGCCTGGTCTATGGGAAGACTACAAAAGGTATCACTCCAAACATAAGCAGAGGAGTATCAGAAGTATAAAATTGCAGTCTTTATATTCTCATTTAACATATTAGCTGACGCCGATGCCACAGCTGCTATTGCCTTAACTCCATATCCCATATAACGAGTGAGTGAAAAGGGGCTTGTCTACTTTAAAGCATCAGGACTCATAAGAGGCACTTCAGGCAGTACTACTGGCTTCTTTCGCCAGATTTATCATCTCATCAACGACGAGCTCTGTCCTACTGCCATTGACAGCGTGTCCAGCACCTTCGACATAAACTCTCTTTACCTTCCCGCCAGCAGCCACGGCATTCTGGTACATCTCCTCCTGCAACTGCGGTGGAACGATGGCGTCCGCTCCAGGAATGATCTGCACGCTCGGGATATACTTCCACGCCTCGTAGGACGCCTTGCCGCTGTAGCTATCGGAGCTGTGTCGGGTCAAGTGGGAAAAGAGCTTGGGAATCTCCTCTGCTGGAAAGTCGCTGAAAATGAAAGGACCACACTCTGCTGGCAGAAGGGGGAAGTACTCCCCCGGAAGGCCAGACTTATATGGCTCAGGGGCATCAGGGTTGATGTCTCGAACTGATTGTCCTAGGGCTGGGAGAAACGAGCCGATGTAAACAATCCCAATGACGGCTGTGCTCTTGCCTTGGGCTGTTCGATCCGCCTTGCCTAGTCCTTTGACAGCAGAAGAGCCGGGAAGACCGCTGTATGAGTGAACAGTAAGCAGGACGTTCTTTGGATTGACCTGGTCGTCTAGAATAGAGAGGACGTTGGTGCGGATGTACTCGGCGTCCTGCTCCATTGTAGGGGCAGGAAGCCTGCTTCCGTCATTGGCGGATAGCAGCTCGACCGGTTGGGCATCATATCCGTCTCCGCGCAATGCTGCTACGAGGTTATCCTCGTAGAGTTTGGTGGTCGCAAAAGAGCCAGGTACGAGCACGAAGCTAACATCTTTCAATTTCTGTGAAGTGGCCATGATGTTACAAGATTAGGGTTGAGATTAGTAGAGCAAATGCGAAACGGGTGCTGCGTTGGATGCTATGACTACATTCCAAACTTCACGTCCCATTGTCGAAAATCATCGTTCTTATAGCTCTGAGAGCCAAGACCTGAATTGATGGGTGATCGTCGAGCAATACGCGTTGCTGTCCTTGGTTTGCAATCAACCTTTCTAAGCTTGCTTATGCAATCCTTCGGGCGTATATGTACGCACGTTTGGCATAGGTCTCTGCAGGAATGAGAGGCACAGGGCTCGGATCCTGTAGTGCGAAATGTGGCTTGGTTGACCGAACAGTCCGAATTAGGCTAACGAGATAGGATGCGGCACATGCTACGAAGATCGTCCCCAAGATATCTTAAGACCATAACTTCTGAGCATAACTTCCTCAGCCCAGCTGACAAATTATTGCACTTGCGTGTCTTGAACTGTTCGCCGAAGCGATTCGAAGCAGTGTTTGGAATCCAGGTTGAAGATTTCGAACGAGTGACCTTCACTCTAGAATTTGGGCTTCATACAACGCGACTCAGTAAAAAATTGGAGACGATTTTCCCATGTAGCTACGCCGGATCATGCCGAGCTCCTTGGCTTCTTCCCCCAGGCAACCCGCATCGGGAAGTACCCGCCCTTTGTCTTCAATTCCTGCTCCCAGCGAGTTGGCCACGACTCCAATTCCTCGGCCGTCATGCACTTGAAGCCGCCGGGTATCACTAAGACTTGAGTTAGCAGGATGTGAAGAGAAAGCCGGTGTAAAGGCACCTACTTTTCCCAGCACCGAAAACGTTCTTCGATGCAAGTAAGACGGATTTGATGCTCCCCTCTCGCAACTCCTCCAGTGGCACCTTCGCGCCCATGGCGGTCTCAACCCTTTCGCTCTGGACATCCTCGAAGCCTGCATCCTTGAGATAGCTCTCCAGCTTCGTCGAGAAATGCACGTCGATTTGTATAAGTCCCGCCAGCTCAGTCAGCATCGCAAGCCACTGCTTGTGTGCTGGACCATCATCCTCAGCAATCACGTTCTCTGGCTCAAGAAGCTGGATCCAGCCGCCTGGCTTGACCAACTCTCCAAGACGAAGGACCACATCGGCTTGGCGTGGCCCGGCAGAGCTCAGGCAGAGGTGCTGGCGCACTAAGTCAAAGGATCCCTTCCATTCTTCAGGCCATGGCTGCAGAATGTCTTGAATCTGAAGGAGAATCCCGGGAGGCGGAGGCTTGGGGAAGCGGTCCTGGATGTCTGTGCCGATGAGCGTTGCGGACTCCTTGTTTGGTAGGGTAGCTTGAATCTGTGCGAGCTGGTAGCCTTGAAAATGATCAGACCTCATTCACATTCAATAGCAGCGAATTGAAAGTACTCACCATCGCCTGTGGCACTGTCGAGAATCCTCAAGTTCTTTTGAGACAAGTCAACTGGAGCTCGTATCAGAGCTCCGCCCACTGTTGAGGTGTGAGTGAGCAATCGCACAAGTTAGTCACACTAAGTGGCATACTTGCTTGCCGGATGACTTCAGAGCCTTGAGCCAGGCGCCAATTCTCGTCATCGTTCTCATGGACGTAATACTTGGGAGGCATGGCGCTGATGAAAGGTTTGGTTGAGGAAAACGATGCTCAGATTGCATCGCGAGTCATAGATGGCTCTGATATCTGAAATACATTGTTAAGGAGGTTGGTGATTAGTCTCATGTGCCGAAAACTTGTTCCTTCGCCAAGCCTGGCATTGGTAGTAATCGGATATGGTGTGACGAATTGGCACTCAACAAGGACAACTTCCTAGGATATTCGCGACCTTGCCGCGGTCCTGCAGCCGTGTTATCCTGAGATCGTCAACATTGCATTGGACGGGTTCTCCGCTAGATCCTTTGTCTCCTGCGTTGACAGGCATTTTTCAAACGGGCTTAGCCTGTCGGTTGAATAACGATCTTACGGCAACCGCGATGGACGCATCTTTGAACCTTCTTCGGGGATGTCGCTTCTCACAGAACTCACGTACAGCTCGGTGATTGTTGTGAAAGAGCGGGCGCTAACACGTCGTTCCTGCGTCCTGCTTACTCTGTGGGGGGAGTTTCCCGACAAGGTTCTGAGCCCCAATCCGGAGCTTTTTAACAGACACACCACATTCGTTCCATTCGAAAAATAGCAAATTTACATATGCTCAAGAAGATGACAATCCTTTTCGAATAAGTCTATCGAGTATCAGCATTATAAGCGTGCCTGACGTCAAGATGGACGCCAACAGAGACATAGACCATGGGCAAGAGGATCGTGGCCCCGAGCTCAAGCGCAAATATCCTCCTGTCGCATCAGAAATTGCACACGATATTCGCAGGATGCGTCCCACGGATGAATCACTCAAGAACTTCACTTCGGGCTCTGCCGATGTCTCGGATCACGACGTCGATGAGAACAAAGTTGTCGACGACGTTTTCTAGGAGGAAATGAGAGCATGGCGTCGGTACCGAGCGATAGAAGTGCCGGACGAGACACCAATGATCCCGGAAGAGCCGCTGTAGGACCGGCCCAGTCGACCATGTGTACCTCGCAGCAGGCAGCCCGACATGCTCCAGCAGGCTGAGGCGAGGAACGAGACTCGAAGCAAGCTACGAAGACCAAAGGAATATCAAGCCCCTGAGTGTCCTCTTCGTATCCATCCTGTTGGCACGTGGCACCTCAACCGTTTGGGCATTGATGTTCGAGACTTCGAGTTGGAGAAACACCATCTGGAACGACGGAAGAGGGCTGCGTCGAGTTAGGGCGGCATTTAGAATCAGCGCTTGACTTTGTGGACATGAGCGGGTTCCTTGTATGAGACGGCACTTGCGTGCTTCAGGGGTCCTTGAACACCAACATTGAATCGCAGAAGGATTGTTAAGGACACGGGGAAAATTCCAATGCTTTCAAGTCCTGTAGTGCACTGAATGTGAGCGTAAAGGCGTAGTTCCTTTTAAGTATTGACTCCGGTTGAGTCCAGGACGGCGAACATTGAACAAGATTAAGCTTAAGTCCGGATATGTAGTCCTCTGCAGGGACCTGCTATTGCCGAAGAGAGCTGGGGGATGCTGGGTGCCGCTCCGGCCGTTTACGCGGTTACAAAGCAGGGGTGGGTGCTTACTCGTCCCTCAAGCCACCCAGCAATAAAATGCCGAAGATTGCCTGCAAAGAAGCTTTAAATCCTCCGTTCAGCAGGGGCTGTCGCTGATGCTGCACTGCTGCTCATCGGAACACCCGTGAGACTTCTGATACCCGTGCCAAGGATTGCTGCCGCTCCCGAGCTGCCGAAGGTATGGGGAGCCGACCCACGGAAAAGCGCCCCACAGCTATGCCGAACAACGGCACCGACCCTGACCCCGACCCCGAGACCGGGGCGCAATTCCACGAGAACCGAGATGAGATCCGGAAACCGGCACAGCACCACACAGACGGTTCTTTCGATGGTTCCTTTGCGGGAACGTTGCGGAACAGGAGTGAGATCTACAGTACGCCATGGTATCGGCGGCGTGACTACTTCTTGAGCGGATGGACGGACGCTTCCATCTGGAGAGCGGCTGTACGTCTCTTAAGGCTCCACTGACATATACACAAGGTTAGGCAATCGCTGACAAGCGTTGATATTAGACTGTGGAGATGGCGGCCACTGCCACCCAGGTGTATATCAGCGGGCAGTTCGCAGTCACGATTATGAATTACCACAATGCCCAGATCGCCGCCTACGTGGGCATCTACAACACACTGCTGCTGGCTGTGTTCATCTACGCATTTGCCCCTGCATCTGGAGGCCACATGAATCCGCTTATTACCTGGGCCACCATGCTGTGCGGGCTTTGCCCGGCGTCCAGAGGTGTCATCTACATAATTTTTCAAACAATCGGCGGGGCCTTGGGAGGCGGCATGCTCCTAGGCTCATGGGGCAAGGCGAGAGCCGATGCGTATGCATCTCACGATCTAAATGAAATGTCCAAGGGTTTGCTAACTCCGCGCTTGGTAGACACATGGGCGGCGGGTGCTTCTTCGATGCATCGGAGATTAGCAGCGGGCAGGTGCTGTTGACGGAGATTGTGTGCTCAATGACTTTGGTGTAAGTTCATGGATACACCAGCAATACCCTATCATGTAGGTCAATAGCCACACCATGATCTGACGATGCTCCCGACCATAAAGGATCCTCGCATACGGCACTGGCCTTGATCCGCGGCAGAAGCAGGTATTCGGCCCTCAACTAGGCCCACTGCTGGTTGGTCTCGCTCTCGGAATCGTTTCGACGGCCACGACGGGCACAACTCCAGGATACACAGGAGCCGGCGTCAACCCGGCGCGATGCTTCGCGCTGTCCATTGCCAGAGGTGGCTTCAAAGGTAGGTCTCATAGGTGGGACTCAAGGTAATCCATGAGCTGACTCGAGCTCGGTCCAGGCCACTGGATATGGTGGATTGGTCCGGTGAGTTGAAGCGAACCGTCTCGTGTAATGCATTGTGGATCGTGGTTTTGACGGCCTATAGGCGATCGGCGGCTTATGTGGTGCAATGCTCTACAACGCCGCTCCTCCTTACCACTCTGACCACAAGAAGCAATGATAGCTACTTTTCAAAAGGAAACATTGAGGGTTTCCCGGAAGATTCGACCAACGTGACATGCTCTCTGAAATTTAGGAAGACGAAAAGACACAACTTGATAAGTACTGGTCATTAAGGCAAAGGTTCATCATTGATGGTGATGGAGCAGTGTTCGGATCGGAAAAAGGGTTTGATCCGGCAGCCATGTGAATGGGGTGAGATGGGGCTGGGAGCTGCCTGGAAGCGTGGAAGTGGTCGCAAGGATCTACAGAGCCAGCAATTGGGCCAGTTCAGCCTTGCTAGGCAGGAGAAACAGGCAGGAGCCAGGACATGGACGGGAGAAGGAGCGGCTGGAGAGGTTGGGAAGAGAACGGAAGATTCTATGCATTTCGGTTTGCTTTCTGCGAGGCTTCAAGACTCCATCAATTGGTTCCCATTTGTTGGTCTTCTCTGGGGGCTGGTTTGCTGGCTTTCTGCAAGGCAACCCGGGAGCTTTGAGCGGGCAGTTGGGGCTCTTTTTGCAGGGTCCTAGGTAGTCTCGTAGTGAGGAAAAAAATAGGTGGAGGTGCCTGTGGTGCCTTTTGGTGCCTTCCCCAGCTGGCTGGCTGCACAAGCTTCACCCGCCAGGTAAGCAGCCAATCAGGGGGCTTCAAAGGATGGGGTGGTTGCCGTGGTGGCGATGGGAAGCGAATCAGAGAAGAGCATGGAAGGCTGGCTGATAGAATCCGATAGAATCTCGACCTGCACAGCCGAAGGCCCACGAAGGCCCACGAAGGCCCAGGGGGTGCGCCCAGACAGCTTTTTAGCTGCCGCAGCTACTTTTTCTCTCCTCCTCCTCCTCCAGCTATTTCTCTCTCCCCAATCTTCCTTCTCCTCCATCATCCGCATCAGCAGAAGCTTCTCCTCACTCTCTATTCGCCTCTCTCAAGCGTCTAGATTCCCCCCCAGAAAAGGTTCAGTCGGCCTTTCTCCCCAAACAGTGATACCCTAATACACATACTGGTGAGTGCATTCCCAAGCTTATACAGGTGCCCCTCATCGCCGTCAGCAAGCAAGCTCTCTCGTCCCCAACCTATCACTACATATACATCTTATCAGCCTTGCCATTGCTGCTCTTCCCTGCACTCCTTCCACAATTCCCGGAAAACCTCGCTCTGTCCACTGTCAAGAAACTGCTTTGCGGTTCTGTAGCTCCTGAGCTCAAGAAAAACTGGTGCCTGCGTCTGCAGACTGAGCTTGGAGCCTTGCCTCGCCTTGCCTTGTCCGCCTGGTCTTGGCAAAGTTTCCACCAGTTTCCACAGCTACCACCGCCTCAACCCTCTTGATCCTTCTCACCAAAATTTAAATCTCCAACCAACCCCTGTGGACATCAGCAACTGACATCCCTCATTATCAGTTTTCACGACCGTCACGACATATCACTACCCAAGATGTCTGAGACTTTCGAGTTCCAGGCTGAGATCTCTCAGCTGCTCTCTCTCATCATCAACACCGTCTACTCCAACAAGGAGATCTTCCTGAGAGAAATCATCTCCAACGCCTCAGATGCTCTGGACAAGATCAGATATGAGGCCTTGTCCGACCCCAGCAAGCTGGACTCCGGCAAGGACCTCCGCATCGACCTCATCCCCGACAAGGAGAACAAGACCCTCACCATCCAGGATACCGGTATCGGTATGACCAAGGCTGTAAGTACACATGAATCGATTGCCCATTGGGTTTTCACAGCATCATGCTAACATCACGCTTCAGGATCTCGTCAACAACCTGGGTACCATTGCCCGCTCCGGCACCAAGCAGTTCATGGAGGCCCTCACCGCTGGCGCTGATATCTCCATGATTGGTCAGTTCGGCGTTGGTTTCTACTCTGCCTACCTGGTCGCCGACCGTGTCACCGTCATCTCAAAGAACAACGATGACGAGCAGTACATCTGGGAGTCCAGCGCCGGCGGTACCTTCAGCATCACTGCCGATACTGAGGGCGAGCAGATTGGCCGCGGTACCAAGATCATCCTTCACTTGAAGGATGAGCAGACCGATTACCTCAACGAGAGCAAGATCAAGGAGGTCATCAAGAAGCACTCCGAGTTCATCTCTTACCCCATCTACCTCCACGTCCTCAAGGAGACCGAGAAGGAGGTCCCTGATGAGGACGCCGAGGAGGTTGAGGAGGGCGACGACAAGAAGCCCAAGATCGAGGAGGTCGACGATGAGGAGGAGGAGAAGGAGAAGAAGCCCAAGACAAAGAAGATCAAGGAGTCCAAGATCGAGGAGGAGGAACTCAACAAGCAGAAGCCCATCTGGACTCGTAACCCCCAGGACATCAGCCAGGAGGAGTACGCTGCTTTCTACAAGTCCCTGTCCAACGATTGGGAGGACCACCTTGCTGTCAAGCACTTCTCAGTTGAGGGTCAGCTTGAGTTCCGAGCTATCCTGTTCGTTCCCAAGCGTGCTCCCTTCGACCTGTTCGAGACCAAGAAGACCAAGAACAACATCAAGCTCTACGTCCGCCGTGTCTTCATCACTGATGATGCCACTGACCTCATTCCTGAGTGGCTCAGCTTCGTCAAGGGTGTTGTCGACTCTGAGGATCTTCCCCTGAACCTGTCTCGTGAGACTCTCCAGCAGAACAAGATCATGAAGGTCATCAAGAAGAACATTGTCAAGAAGTCCCTGGAGCTTTTCCAGGAGATTGCTGAGGACAAGGAGCAGTTCGACAAGTTCTACAGCGCCTTCTCCAAGAACCTGAAGCTGGGTATTCACGAGGACTCTCAGAACCGCAACGTTCTTGCCAAGCTGCTGCGCTTCAACTCCACCAAGTCTGGCGATGAGCAGACCTCTCTGGCTGACTACGTCACCCGCATGCCTGAGCACCAGAAGAACATGTACTACATCACTGGCGAGTCCATCAAGGCCGTCTCCAAGTCTCCCTTCCTTGACTCTCTCAAGGAGAAGGGCTTCGAGGTTCTGTTCCTGGTCGACCCCATTGATGAGTATGCCATGACTCAGCTCAAGGAGTTCGAGGGCAAGAAGCTTGTTGATATCACCAAGGACTTCGAGCTTGAGGAGACCGAGGAGGAGAAGAAGGCCCGTGAGGAGGAGGAGAAGGAGTACGAGGATCTCGCCAAGGCGCTGAAGAACGTTCTCGGCGACAAGGTTGAGAAGGTCGTCGTCTCCCACAAGCTGGTTGGTGCTCCTTGCGCCATCCGCACTGGCCAGTTCGGCTGGTCTGCCAACATGGAGCGTATCATGAAGGCTCAGGCTCTCCGTGACACCTCCATGAGCAGCTACATGTCTTCCAAGAAGACTTTCGAGATCTCCCCCAAGAGCTCCATCATCAAGGAGCTCAAGAAGAAGGTCGAGGCTGATGGTGAGAACGACCGCACCGTCAAGTCCATCGTCCAGCTGCTGTTCGAGACCTCCCTGCTTGTCTCTGGCTTCACCATTGACGAGCCTGCTGGCTTCGCCGAGCGCATCCACAAGCTGGTGTCTCTCGGCCTGAACATCGATGAGGAGCCCGAGGCTTCCGCCGATGCTCCTGCCGCCGATGCCTCTGCCCCTGCGGCGGAGACTGGCGACAGCGCCATGGAGGAGGTCGACTAAATGGCTGTCGTTAAAGGTTAAAGGCGATAGGCATAAAAGTGGTTTCGGAGTTGGAACGGATCTTTTTCGGCTTTGACACCCCGACTTGCATCTTTGCTACCTTTTTCTACCATAATGCTGGATTGGGACCTCCCCGGGATGTACTCTTACAGTTTCGCATGATACACCGCCTTTGATGACTCAGGTAGAACATGAATGAATTCGTCTAAAGAACTTTGTCTTCTTTCCCCTTGCTGCAACGTGTCTGTGATATGTCTGTTATTGTTTGTGAAGTGGCGTGAATTACAAATCTAAGCTCTGAGCCCTTCATCTTCGGCCTTATGTATTAGGGTTGGTGGCACAGTGATCGAAGATACGGCAGTCTCGCATATAATTGGAGCTAAGTCCCGTATCTTGAACACACTTCACCCCCTTTCACAACCTGAGTGTGTTGACAAATACATGATGACAGCTACTGTTCTCCGCGGGGACAATCTGAAGGTGCCAGCTTGGCGCAAACAAAATTGGACAGAGTCAAAATTCTTTCGTCTGGTCGAAGATGGCTCGGTTATGCGTGGGCCAAAAAGCCTATCTGATGCCTGTCCGGCAAGTGTCGTTGCTACCCTACCGCGGATTCCCAGAAAGAGATCAGACTGACCGAGTGAATGAATGCTTGTCCCTGACGAAGAACAGCAAACGGCTATGATAGGGCTGAAGGATACGAACCAGTAATGCACACAGTCTCTGACGCTTGCTGGAGTCGGTTTGCGCGGTGACTGCCTGAAACGGAAGAGCAGGTGAATAAGGGCCGGTGGGAGCTCCCCTGCTCCATCCTCAGAATTCTCGAGGATCAGGCAGTTCTCATTCTTCTCGGTTGCTTCTTGCTGTTCCTGGTCTTGTTTTCAGAGAAGGAGCCGAGCAGAGCAGAGCAGCTTGTGAACTCGCCGTCGATTCTTACCAGTGGCAAGCCCACACTTCACCAACATGTCACTCCCCTTGTTCTCCCGCAGAAAGGCGCCCCTGTTAAACTCGAATGGGGACCACCGCCCGTCGCCGCCCTCATCCGCCTCTGCCTCCACCTCCACAGTCACCATGCCGGCGCCCGAGAGCCCGATCCTGCCGCCGGCGCACTTCCGCGTGATCATCGTGGGCGGCGGGCCCGCGGGCCTGGGCATGGCGCACGCGCTGGCGCTGGCGGGCATCGACTACGTGCTGCTGGAGCGCCGCAGGGAGGTGGTGCACCCGGACGGGGCGTCGATCGCGCTGTGGCCGCATGGCGTAAGGATCATGGACCAGTTCGGGCTGCTGGAGCAGGCGCGGCGGCTGTACATGCCCATCAAGTCCAAGTACAACCTGCGCCCGGACGGCTCGCTGAGGGAGAAGAATGATATGTTTCAGGCGATTGAGACGAAGTGAGTTCCCGGAAAGGAGTGTGATGGTGGACGGGGAGGACATCTGACAGTTTGACAGCCATGGACACCCCTGGATGCTGTTCCGCCGGACGGAGTTGCTCGAACTACTTTATAACAGCATCCCCGACAAGGAGAATCATGTGTTCCCAGAGACTGATGTCACTAGAATCGACATGGACACCAATGGCGTTCGGGTCTACTGCAAAGACGGGGCTTCGTACGCTGGCTCGATCGTGGTCGGCTGCGACGGCGTCCACAGTTCCGTACGGAGAATCATGCGAGAGATGATGCTCAAGTCCAACAAGCGTGTGGATGATGATGAGATGCCCATGAAGACCTACTACAATGGACTAATTGGCTACTTGCCGAAGATCCCAGGGTTAGAATCGGGGTCAGTCTATGAGGTCCGCGGTGCACGCCAATCTTTCCACGTCCTTGCGGGTATTGACGACGCATATTTCTTCGTATACAATTGCCTCGACCATCCTTGCGATGATGGGAATCGATACACAGACGTCGACGCTGAGGCACTGGCGCACAAGGTACTAAATCAACCGATTACCAAGGATATCAAGTTCAGAAACCTGTGGGAGGCAAAGACATGGGCGAAGATGATTGACTACCAGGAAGGTTTTCTCAAGAAATGGTACTACGGGCGGATCGTTCTGGTTGGAGACTCCGTACACAAGACTACGCCCAACGCTGGCCTCAGCTTAAACACCGGATGGCAGGGCATGGTGGAGCTGACCAATCGTCTTCATGCATTACTGCAGAAGCATCCCAATCCGGATCTCAAGCGCCTCACCGGGGTGTTCAAGAACTATCAGCGAAGGCGAGTAAAGGTTGCGAAGGAGGTGATGCAGTTCTCTGGCATGTACACGCGTGTAGTGGCGTGGCAGAATCCGTTGTACAAGTTCGCCGATCTGGTCGCTCCCAAACTCGGAGGTGATATCGTGCTTTTGGACAACTTGGCCTCTCCGATCGTGAGGAAGGGAATTGTGTTGGATTTCGTGGAGGAGACTGGTCACAAAGAGGGAAAGGTTCCGTGGAGGAATGGGGCTCCGCTGCAAAAGAAGGTGGTACAATGAGTCTCAGCCTGGGAATGAGGAGCTGTCACGCTGCCAGCACCTTCACACCGACCCAGGTTACTATGGACACCGAGAGTAAGTGTAACTGTACAAAAGAGTCCTAGATTTTGGGCCATCGTACCAGCTGTGAAATAATAACATTGAACGAAGGGTTAGACAGTCTGGATATACGTGACAGAATAGATTCCTTGCTGTTTATCGTGAAGACAGTGGCCTTTGTACATTTGTCTTAATGAAATGGTCTGGTTGATGCTGTACTGGTCAAAGTCAGGCAACCGAGAGGCTCAGCCTTGCTCGTTCTTACGGAGATTTACTCTCTAAAGAAAAAGTCTAGTTTCTTCTCCAGTAACCAAGGTGCGCACTGACATCTACCTCTAAGCTCTCGCGCCGGCTCTTTCCGAGACAGTATGGTCATATAATTATTGCGCGGCCCCTGACTTATCAGGACCTTTTTCCCTTTCTAAACAAAAAGCATCTTGCCGTCAGAACGACCGTTCGATGCCGTGACTAACACGACAACCATCGCCAGATCTATACTCGGCACGTTCTCTTCTCCATACCAGGTGACGCCAGGCGAAGGCAGAGTGATATTAGCTGTGACGCTGAACGAGTCAGTACCTTGCGGCACGGAATCGACAGCGACTCCGTCGAGGTACATCTCAAGCTCAATGTCGACGTCACCGCACGCAGATGTGTCAATGCTACCCGTGATCTGAATGGTGTTTTCGGCAACACGCAAGGCGCCAGCCTGCACCTTGGGAGCTTTCTGGCCAGTGAAGATGGTCGTGTTCCCCTTGGGTGGAATCGCGTCGGTAGGCAATTCAGGGGTTCGCGGCGGGGGGAAACGGCCATTGTGGGCCTGCTCAAAGGCGTAGGCGTAGCTGACTAGAGAGCTGTCATCATAAGCCTTTCCTGCAAATGTCAAGTCCACAGGCATCCCGATACCGCTCATGGCCCCCATGGCAACAGAGACCGTGGGGATTCCTAGCTTGCGGATGGCAGCATTACCAAAAGCCCTGGCAATGCCATTCCGCCAAGCAAGCTCTGCGGCTCGTTCTTCATCTTCCACCAGTTGTGGACCGACACCGCCTTGGCAGGGCCAGACAAGGAGATCCAGGGAGTAATTGTCCATCCAGTCTTCAAGGTCATGCTTGCGGCGGCTCTCGAGACCCGTAACAAAGGTCTCCAGACCGGGAACTTCCAGAAGCTTCGTGCCGTTACGGGCCTTTACCTTATCAACAGCTGCGATATTCGAAGTAGTTCGGTTGTTCCACACGTTGGTGTATCGGTCGGGAAGAGTGCCGGGAATCTGGGGGAAAATAAGTGCCCCGTCAACCTCGGTGAGGGTGGTGACACTGCCAGTGTCGTTGACCATGGCCAGAAAGTCATCCCAAGCATATGCATCTAACCCGTCTGGGTCGGTGGTGCCGTTGGCGTAGCTCGGAAGAGGGTAATTCGTGGCCACTTGAATTAAAGCGGGAGCTATCTCAAAGTTTGTTACAGCAGGAAAGTCGACGATCTCCACGATGGCACCAAGGTTTTGCAAAGTGACGCGGGCGTCGTTCCACAGCTCACGCACTCGAGGGTCGACAAAGACTTTTTGCGCAGCTTTGTCATACTCGCCAATGAACATCCTCGGCACGCCGATGCGCTTGCCACTCAGGGCGCTGGCGTCAGCCAGCGAGAGGAAGGAATCGGGACGCACACTTTCAGGACTGGGAAGGTCGACCCACGTCTGCATCCGCCAGAAGTCCATATTCGTATCGTTATCCGTGGCAACTAGAATATCCAGGATATGCATCAGATCCTTGACGCTTCTAGCCTGTGGGACAACAACGTCTGCACTCGGTTGGAGAGGCCAGTTCCCGCGGATTGAGAGAACGCCTCGGGACGGCGTATATGCAACAAGCCCGTTGTTAGAGGCCGGCGCGCGGCCTGAGGAGACGGTCTCCTCACCCATGCCGAAGCCCGCCAAGCTTGCGGCAGTAGATGCTGCGCAGCCGTTTGATGAACCCGAACCAATGGCAGCAGCAAGGAAATCTTTGTTGTATGGGCTGTCTGCTCTACCCCAGACACCCCGCTGCATGCCACCATTGGCCATAGGAGGCATGTTAGTCTTGCCTAGAGCTACGGCACCGCCATCGCGGAGTCGGCCGACTGTGAACGCGTCTTTGGTTGCGGTCAAGTTCCGAAACGCCGGAGAGCCAGCAGCGACTGGTAAGCCTGACATCATGTAGCTGTCTTTAGCCGTGAACGGAATGCCTTCCACAGTGGAGCGGATGCTTCCATTCGTGCTTGCTCGGTATTCGTCAGAGAGCTGAGCTTCCCAAAAGACCGTAGGGTTGATGACTGGGATTGAGTTGAGTCGAGTAGTCCGGCGGTCATACTGGGCATAACGATGGAGGTATTTCGCAAGCAGTTGGACAGCGTTGATCTGACCTGAACTCAAAGCATCTTGAAGGTCATCAATGGTGGCTTCAACAATACTTAAACTCTGAATATCATATTAATTATACGCCATCGTGCATATGTGTTAGTTGACTGACCACTGCTGTTGTTAGAACCAGCTGAGCAATGAGGAAAACGTTGGTATAGTCTCGTAATCTCATTTTGGTGATTGATGACTGCCGTCTAAGATAGCAAGAAGTTTGAGCATATGTGCATAAATCAAGAGATGTAAGAACGTTGACCAACCAGCCGGAGGCGTCGCACGTAATACAACCCAAGACGATGCAGCTTAAGGGAGAACTATATACGGAGCACAAGTTGAGTGTTACGCAGCGGAGACCATAGGTGAAGACGCAAGACTATGTTCGATCTATATATACCTTGTTCCTACAAGTGGCAACTCTTCTAAGTCTTGGACCTATCTCGCATAGTACATGAACGGCAACCCGTCATCTCTAGTGTTAAGAGCATCAGTCCGATAACGCTGCCTCGTATCTGAATTGCCAAGGCTTCATCCTGCAGTTTACATAGATCATGTCACTGTTCTCTTATCTTGAGTGGGCTGGGGCAGGATATTCAAGAAATCGGCGGCTCACCGTCGGGTTTGACCGACTTTTGTACGGAGGTTCTCCAGCACGATACGACCTTGCCGGCACTTGCCCCCGATGTGATCATCTCACACCGGCCCCCGGCCCGAAGTAAGTGGAACAGAACACCGGAAGCTTACACTGTCGGAATTATTCCCAGGTCAAAGTCACTGGGTTGACGGGAAATTCGATTTTGAGTCTACCCAACCCACGCCTACGTATGGCTCGGATAAGGAAATGTCATCACTCGGTTCCTTGTTGGCGATTGTGGGGTAGATGGACGCAAACACATATTGAGAAAACAACGAGATGGTCAGAGTATTGGAAACCAATCTAGTGCCACAGTAGGCTCGTACCCGCGCCGAGACGGGACTTCGATGGGTACCATGTCCATAGACGCCAACTGTCAACCCCAGGAACCAACCCCCCAAGGCAAAAACCCCTCATCTCTTATGTTGCACTAAGAAAGAAGATATCGATAGTCAAGTGGATAGTATTGATAAAGGCTCATGCAGAAGCAGTATTAGTGTCATATCAGGAGACTTGATGCGATCTGTAGTCTGCGGTCAAGGAGCCTGTAGGCCGTGGGGTAAGCAATCTATTGGCCGTGGGCTAAGCAATATGTACGCCGTGGGCCAAGCATCCATGAATAAGCAAGAAACTGGAGTGCCTAAATGGACATCTAGAGACAATCAAGAAGTACACTCACCATTCCTCACATACCATATATATCAGAGCCCCACCTTCTCAACACTATACCGCCAAATTAATCACTTCACCACTTATTCCCAAAGCTACCTTTTTTTTTAAAATAAAAAAGAAACAAGCGTCTTAATCTAAGCAATCTAAGCCTGAACAAGGGAGAATATACTATTATCAAGAATAAATCAGCTTAATACCTAGTAAGTCATACTCTTTAGTCGCTTTTATAAAACCGGACGAGTTGTATAATAATCATTTGGAGATTACCTCAGTTACTTCAAGGAAATGGCCTAGGGTAAGCTTATAGTAGCAAGGCTTATCCAGCTCACCTCATTGATCCGAGTGTAGTGAGCCGAAGTATCTCTGTCTGCAAGTCTGTCGTATTGGCACTTGCTTTGTTTCCTTCCACTTTCATCTCACAATCGACACGGCGAACAGACGTGCCGCAAGTGGTGTTGCTGTCATCCTCATTCTAGACAGCATTCGGCAAATAAGAATGACTCCGAGCCTCTATAACTCCCATCTCTTGTGAGGATTCATACTCGTTCTTGCCCTGTACAGCTATCGGAGATACTTAACATGTTACTCGCCCTATGCCTGACATTGCAACAGGACTATGGATAGATCATTCGAGATCTCCTGCCATAGGAGCGACCCTGACTATACGTAATAGCTACTCAAACGCACTTCTATCAGCACTCACCGTCGTAGTCACGGTTGCCTTATCTAGCCTATGGCGTCTTGTGACCTTCTACCTTCACCATCGGAAAGCTGCCCAGGAGGCCGTAGATTTGGTTGATTTACAACACCAGGTGCTTCTTCGTAATTCGGCTAGTATAGCAGAGTCTATCTTTGAATTTATCAAACTCTACTACACATGGACAAAACACCGGCCCCGGAAACTGCTACGTCGAACAATATGCTTACTATTTCCTGCTCTGGTCATTTTTACTGGTTTTCTGGTCTCATCGATATTAGTATCTCGAGTCTCAGAATCCAGAAACCTAGTAGGTCGCATGGTTCCAAACTTTTGTGGAGATATAACTCAGACTGAATCCCCGGATCACGAACCCTTGGATCACGAAGGGTACCCTCCATTGAAGATCAAGAAAGAGCTGCAACAAGCAAAAGCTTACGTTTCTGAAATGCACCTCAACACATCGACTCTTAGCAACCCACGGTCTATATTCAAATACAAGAAATTGCCCTATTATGTTTCGACTACCGCTGCATGTCCTTTCCCAGATGCTACGAGCTGTACTCTCGGCCCAGATGGCGCCTTTTCCATGATCTCTGGACAGATCAATTCACACGAAATGCCTGGTATCAACGCCCCACGCGAAGACCGTATATCTTTCCAAGTCAACATGACGTGCTCCCCTCTTCGGGATCCAGAAAAGCTCTTCTCTGATTTGTCTCTTGGGGACATCATACAATATATATCAGATCATGCGCCGATTCCATTCTATAACGTCTTGTAAGTTGAAATCGGTTTAAAGCTGAATGTTGCTGAGTCTGACCTAGCAAGTTAGTCTGGATATGTGGCATGACAGAGAGGACCCCGACGACCGTCTTTACGACTGGATTTTCAGGGGACCCCCATCTGAGTTCAATCGCGCGGACTCTGATTTATTTTTCTTCTTTCTCAACAGAAGCACTTCAGGAGATATGATATACGATGAGCGGGTTCTGGACCCATGGTTCTCCGTCACCGACTGCTCTGGCCACTGGGAAGACTGTGACTCCAAGAAGAGGGAAAGCGCATTGGGTTGTGCTATGGAGTGGAATATATGCAATCCGACACTGAGTAGGTGTACGCCTCCCTATGGTCACCTCCGCATGTTTCCCAATCTAGATTCCCTCTCCTTGAGCCCCGCGCAGAACGTGACTACGCAACGACTACTAAAGTTCATTGAGCTCAGAGATCCTGGCTTTCAAGTGAAGTATTTGGGATCAGATGCACTGTGGGCCAAAAATCTCTTCTTAAGTGATTATGGTTTGGGGTTTTCGCCTCCTCTTCCCCAAAATCAGTGGCAGAAGGAAGCTCTCGGCTGGTATCTGACCAGCCTAGTAGTGATTCAAGCTAGTATGATTGAATATGCTTCCAAGGGCCCTGAATCTACAGATCAGATGCGAATCTTTAACCTTTCATTGGAGGATGTCGACGACAGGCAATGTCAAAACCAACTTGTCTCTCTGGCAGGCGGGGCACGGGACTTCAATGCCCTCGGCGTCATCATTACTCTAAGCATCAGCTTCATCGTGATACTCTCAAGCCTCATGGTGGAGCGGCTATCAGACTGCTTTCAAGGACGTGGGCGCTTCGCGTCTGGCAGGATCGCTCGACAGGCAGATAGCAAATTACATTTGCTTCGCATGGCATTGCCGGACCTGGATGACGAACAGGGCGAGTGGCAACTTGGCAAAGGCGGTACTCCTGTTGTAGTGGCTCACGGGTTTATGAAAGACCTAGTGTTGTCGACCACTTGAGAGGCTATAGACATTCCCGAGCTGACACACGCGTGGTTGTGCGAAACTATACTAAACTAGAATACCAGGGAGGGCCACGAAGTGATGAGACATTGGACTCACTGGCGCAATCAGAATCTTGACCTCGTGGAGGGGCGACAAGGCAACGAAATCCCCAAAAAGGCCAAATACGAATCAAGACTGTCGTACAGGAATCAATATCTCAGCCGCAGCTCAGGCAACACGTGTTGGTCAACATCTCAATGGTCAAACTTGATGCAAGAAAACAGAATGTTTCAAAACTTCGAATACATATAATTGGAACTCTGTCCCTCGATCAAATGCAAAATTGTCGTTTTGTTTCGGAAATACTTCAACAGAGATCACGTTTGGAAACCCTGTAAAGTATGAAGAGGCTCGCGGTCGGATCTTAGGCTTTGCTTACTATTCAATTCAGCCTCAGCTGCTATAAGTCATCTCACAGCGAAGACTCAACTGTTGCCATTATCTTCGATTTCAACTGCTTTATCATCCAACTCCTGAGTTGTTCGTATCGACGCAATGACTACGGCAGACTCGACAATAAACCCGGTTCACAGCCTGACGCGACGTGCCGATGGGCCAATGCCCGAAGACAGAGAGTTTTGGAGCTGGCTCGACGGGTATCTCACAGGCATCATCGGCATCGCTGTCTTGGGCGGGCAAATCACCTTCACAGTCTTAGTATCTGAGATCGCCGACCCAGCTGAGACGGTCAAGCCTCGCACCCCGACGTTTCGAAAAGAAACCGTTCGCAACTTCATAGGCATCAGCTGGCTGCTCTTTACCACCTTGATGGGGATCTCTGTCTTTGTCAAGATTCTCTGCTCTGACCCGCGAGAGAGGGGTTGGCTGCTCCAGAGACTGGGCACCTATGGTTTCCGCATACTGTATTCGCTTCTCACGCTGCTCCTCAACGCTCTGTCGATTGTGCCGTTTCTGTTCCTTGCTCTGGCGGCGACGGCGTACGTACCTATTGTGGGCTGGCTTGGCACGGGCCTTGTCTCGTTTTATACTGTGGTTGTTGGGGTATCATGGCTGGTGCTGGACTCTGGGGGTATTCTGTAAGGTGAAGAAGACTCTTTATTCTTCTCAGGGCAGTAACCGTGAGAGAGATAAGCTATAAGGATACAAAATCGAGCCCATCCTCCAACTAATTGATTTACTGCCAACAAGCGGATAGCCATACATGCATATCACAACCACCAAACCACAACGTCCTCCAAGCCAAGAGACCGACGTTTGGCATGAAACTGCTCGTTGCTTCGCCGAGATCGACCAAGTTCAGAGCTACATGAGCATCGAGCGGCTGAAGAAGATTGCGGCAGCGAGTCTGACTGTAAGAATCCCTTGCGACTGTCATACGCCAGGACACCGAATTTGCTGCGCAATTGCGAGTCCTATTGGCCAATATAGCTCAGCCCTACCGGCTTACATGGAGGTTGGAGAAACACTGGGGCTGAGAGCTCTTGGCGGATTTGCTGAGTCCCTATGTGTATACCTGTGTGCGCCATCACTCCGATCGCAGCAATTTACCAATTTGATCGATCGAACTACAAGAGCCTCGCGCTGTGAAGGCAATGATGCCTTGCTGAGTCATACATTTAATCTATTTCGAGTCGTGGGCGTGTGGGAGAGCAGGCGACAAGCGAGTCAGTCGCGAGTCCGAAAGCAGCAGCCAGTGCCCAGATGCGGCGCGAGCTAGTCCACGTTAGCGGGCGGGCGAATGAAATTAGCGGGAAAGGCACCGTGGGGAAAGTCGAGCTCTCGAGAGGTGCGACGAATCGAGAGTGTACGGACGGCATGACGGACGAGCGATTTCACTTGCAACAAAATCAGGTAAATTCAAAAGACGGAGAAGACGTAATTGAGCCTTGCTTTGTCCAGTTCCGGGTCGCACAACGCATCCACAAGGAACTCCCTATCTCGAGTAGATTGGATTGACGTCGAGTCGCCGAAGCGAAGCAGGGCTGAAGAGAGAGTGTGTGTGCCGACAACGGCGCTGCTTATCTCGACGTCTAATTAAAGATGCAAGATAAGCAGGCAATTGGATCCTGAAAAGACGCCCGAAGAGAGAGAGAGAGAGAACCCTGCAGACCGGTCAAAGGAGCCGCTCGAGCCAAGTCCTTCTCCCAGGCCGATCACCTCAATTGCGATTCATCCTTCTCTTTAGATGATGATGGAGGGCATTTCCTACGCATGCCACATCATCAGAGACAGCGAATGCCTCTGAGGAACGAGATGCAATCTGAAGAGTCTCCGCCCTCTGGGGATTGCCGCGTGTGTCTAACCTCTCGCGACATGAGATGAGTGAAGACCGTCGAGTGAGCACCGCAGTCAGACCAATCAATAGTGCCACAAGACAGGACCCGCTGCCCTAGAGAACCGCCTGGGTGAACCTTGGGAAGCTTAGCCGACCCCCCGTAGCGTGGGATTTATTTGGGGTATCTCTGTATGGACGGATCGGGGGTAGATGGCGGGCTGCGATGATATTGCTCCGAAGGTAAGACGGCACAGCTTTCAGTCCTTTGACGTGATACCCTGGATATTCGAGTACATTGTATCAATGGCCATCTCGTTTCTAGTTGCCGTGTAGACAATCCCGAATATTTGAAGGGAAAGAGAGACAGGAATGGCATGGCATGGCATGGCATGGTCCATCGGCTAACGGACGCCTCCATTCATTTGCCCAGAACCCGGACCCGTACCCGTACCCGCTGTTCGTGTCTTGAAGCAGGTCCATGGTTGGCACGGGCATTTCCAGAAATACCTTAATTCTTCTTACGTACTCTATATCAATCGCCTGGCCGAGATGGCATGTTGAAGCCAAAGTTGGTGATGGCGGCGGGTCGAATATCTGAAGAGCCTCCCGTTGTCTTGCTGGGTAAGAGTAAGATCGAAGCGAAGGAGCCTCCCGCGGCTTCTAGTCAGTGTCAGTACCTGCATCATCGTCATCTCGCCATCTCCACGCCGTAGTTAAACTGCTTTGGGCCTGAGTCGAGTAATTAGCGAGGGTGTAGACTTTCGCGGTCTAATTACATAGTATGGCGGCGCCTGGATTGTGTCTCTCAGTTGCCGGAACTTACATAGCTCAATTGGCCGTCCCACATTTCTGCAGTCTAGACGGCACTTGAAGGCCGTGAGTGTCAAATCGATCGAAGAGCTGGTTGGCACTGCAATTACACTGCAGTGACAGTGCCAATGCCAGTGCCAATGCGATGAAGCTTTGCTCTTTCCTCTTTCCCATTCATCTACCTTCCAAGGTAAACCACTCCCAATCCACCTTAATCTACCATTTTACGATACGAGATACCCTCACTCGCCCACTCGCCCACTCGCTCTCTCTAGGTGCAGGTGCAGGTGCATACACAGCCTCCGACACAAGCCATACCCAACCGGCCGATTCGAGGTCAGGCGGCTCGCATGCAATTTCGAAATCGCGGCAGAGACCAGGCAGGAAGCAGGCAGCGGCACCCCTCTTTTTCTCCAAATCCACCATTTTTTACTCTGCTGGACCGACCGCACTGCAATGTCCTGCACTGCAATTGAATAGCTAATTCACGTTAACGTTACCTCCAATTACCGGAGAATCACCGCACGCGCCCTATTGCTCTGTCGTCGGCCGAAACACCAACTCCAAACAGTCAGACACGCATACAGACATACAGACAAACACGACTCGACTCGACTCGACTCGACGACAAGCTGAGGAAGGAGGGCATCCACATCACAATTCCCAGCTTAAGCACACAGCTGCGCTACGCTCTGCTGACATCCCAGACCAGGGACAGCGTCCGCTGCGCCTATCTTGATCACTGACGTGAGGCCCGCTTACCGACCTGCCTGCAGCAGCAGCAGTAGCAGCAAACAAGCTCCGATCGCTACCCGTGCAGCAGCCAACCTTAGGCCTGGGCTCTCTGGGCAAGGTTCGCATGCCCCCCGATAGGGTGACTCGCAAAAGCCCACGCCGCTGCGAATCGCGCTCTCCTGCCACCCTCCCTCAGGGCAGCGGGCTCGACCTTTCTGACTCCCGCTCAAACTCGCCCTTAACCACGGGTTCCTGGGCTGAGCGGTTCCACCACCACCAGACCGACCTGTCTGGGTACTATACATACAGCCATGACCTCCCGCAAGCCCCCGGTCCTCCGTCAGACAGAAGACCAGAGTACCTTGGGACCCGATAACCATGACAGACCTGTCGGAGAAACCTCCCATTCCCACATATTAGAGGCGGCTGCTGCGACAGCCGCCGCTCAACTTCTCAACAGGCGCAATGCTGCTCAGAACGCAAATATCGACCCATTCGGCCCTGCTTCTACTGCCCCGACTGTAGACTCGCTTTCCAACACCTCTCCGTCCTTCACAACCCCTCCATTGCCCTCGAACCAGGTCCAATTCCGTTCCAATACGATAGCGCCGTCCCCACCTCTCATAGACTCACCGTCGGGGGCAGTTACACCTCAGAGAGTCGACTCGGGCGTCGACGACCAGTCTCGATACCAGCGGAGTCCGCTGGGGAGTAGCCCCGCGGGCAACGGTCTACGTATACAGACAGACATCTGGCCTACAACTCCAGTCCGCACCGATAGCCTTAACAGCAACGCGAACCTCTCCTCGGCCGCTTCTACCTCCAGTCGCCCTGGCGCACTCTCCCTACAGCGCAAGACATCTGCAACAAACCTCAAGCCCGTGACGAGGACACCAAGCTTCAAGACCTCAGCCCTAGCTAACGCCTTTGGCTCTGCCTCTGCGGCCAGCTCTACGGTCCCCAGCCCTGTCATATCCGCCATGGGCGACGTCACGCCTCTCCCCTCGCCGTTGCTCTCGAGCGACTCCCCCGGGCCATGGAAGCGGCTCGGGGCGCGTCCGCCGTCGCGGGAGTCGCCATCCCTGCCAACGATATTGTCGGAGTCGGTTCTAGTGTCCACAAACGGCGAGTCAATAGCAGCAGCCATGGCCCACCAAACTAAGAGAAAGGCGTATGCCGGGCTGGTGACGGGAGACGGCGAGAGTGGCGCTAAGATTGCCCACAAGCAGGACGAGCGGCCGCATACGAGGAATAGGAGTATCAGCGAGTACATCCCGGACCCAATGAGCATACCGAAGCGTATGGTGACGGTGTCTGGCTCGCACGTCAAGCCGGAGGAGGGGAGTTTCGAGGGCAACTTGCGACGAGAGCCGCATTTATCAGAAGCGCGGGGTCTTACACCGATAGAGAAGCCGCCAAGTCCACCGCCAAGCGAGTCGTCTCAGAGCGCAAAGGATTCTGAGTCTACTGCGCTCAAGGAGAAGAAGCGCCGGCATGAGTACTTTGAGGCCCGTGGCCGAAAAGACAGAAAGCTGCGCAGGTGGAGGGTTATCAAGATGCTCGGTCAGGGCACATTCAGCCGTGTAATGCTTGCAACGAGCCAAACGGCTTACCCTGACGAGGAGGACTATGGACAGCCCGAAAGAAAGAGTCTAGACACTGGCTTATTGACCCCAGAACCTCAAATCAACTATGATCGACGGAAATTAGTTGCCGTCAAGGTTTGCGAACATGGACCTAAGGGTGGCGCTTCAGAAGACAGGATCGAGATGAGCCTCAAGCGCGAGCTCGAGATTATGATGAGCATTCATCACCCATCACTCGTCGATCTGAGGGCATGGAATATTGAGTTGACTCGCGCAATTCTCGTCCTAAGTTACTGCCCTGGCGGTGATTTATTTGACGTAGCAACCGCACACCGGGAGCTACTTGAACCACCCCTCCTACGAAGGATATTCTCCGAGCTGGTTGGGGCCGTGGGATATCTTCACGAAAGACGGATTGTCCACCGCGACATTAAGCTAGAGAACGTCCTTGTAAACCTCTCACCGTCAGAGCTGTCCAACAAGTCAATAGACTGGCAGACATATCCTTATAGCGTCATTACGCTTACTGATCTCGGCCTCTCCCGCAGGGTAGCAGATGACGAGAAGCTCGAAACCCGCTGTGGCTCTGATGACTACGCCGCGCCGGAGGTCATCATGGGCCAGCCGTACGATGGCCGAGCAATAGACGCTTGGTCCCTGGGTGTGCTCCTCTACGCATTGCTAGAGAGTCGTCTACCCTTCGACCCCAACCCAGGCATGAGCGACGCCCACCGCATGCGCAGCCGCACAAGCCATCGCATCGCCCGTGTGGAGTGGCGATGGATAGAATACGCCGGAGACGACGGCGACCACGAGGGCGACGTCAAGAAGTTCGAGGAGCGCGGACTGCTTGGCGCGATGGAGATCACAGAGGGCCTGCTGAAGCGCGCGAGGAGCCGATGGCCGCTCAGCAAGGTCGCGGAGATGGAGTGGGTCAAGAGCGGGATCCAGGTCGAGGGCGGGATCAAGTTCAGAGAGGAGGAGGAGGGCGAGGAGGTCTTATGACGATAGTGAGGAGCGTGTGGGCGGCTCTTTGATAAATCAAAACTCACACTCAAACACACTCCTTTCTTACACACTCGGTATCGATATGCTGCTTCTTGCAAGCTTTCTCCTTCACTTGTTCCAATTTCTTGTTTGGTTAAGACCTGCGGATAGAAATAAAAAGACAAGAGACGGAGACTGGGCGGTGGGAGATTCGCAACAACAGACCAGATCAGACTTGGGGTTTGAACGCACTGACGCATGGCATGGGCCCTCGATGCTTTGAGATATGAGGAGGAATATGATGACCTGTACGACTTAAGAAGAGAAGGGAAAGGAATGCGAAGACGACGGAGACTATCATTTTGGTTCTTGCGTGGGGGAGAGCGACGTTATGTCTTGGTTTCTTAGATGCTTGTGTCTGTCTTTAGATACGTAAAGCAAGCAGGCATGGAGAATCGGCGGCGGCTTGGTGACTTGAGAAGGGAAGAAGGAATGAAGGAAGGCCAGATAGTGTGTCTCGATATGAAATGATATCAAAACATCAAACTTGTTTGAATACCTCTTGGTCTAGATTGTATCTGTGTCTTGTGTGATGTGGTAAACGAAGGAGAGGTTTGATACCGATTAGACCCCATGCGGCTGCGGTTCTTGAGTCTCCTGCTTGCAATAACATAGGAACGTCAAGTCTTTCTTTCACCCTCCGTGTTATGTTCACGGATGGGTTGGCGAATGCCCTCCTCTTAAACAGCCTGGTGTTTGATGCTATGCTTGGACTCGGATGGTATCTAGGATGATGGATCCCTAAGTCTCCTGCTGCGCAGAGTGTCCCCTGTATGCTAAGATTGCAGTGAACGATAGCCCTGCTGCACGGCTAGCCGCCGTTGCCGCTTTTGAGAAAGGTGCAGATAAATGCTTTCCCGCTCAACATGTCTCCGATGAAGCTAAAGTGCAGTGCAGCTCAATTGCCTGCCGCTTGGATGGGGACTATGATTGGTGCTTAGCACGATACATTGCATTTGGGAGACTGTTTTGGAGCCAATACGCATTCTTTCATTTTCGAAAGGAATTCTGGGAAGGTTTCCTGTGAGGTTAAAATTGCAGTGAAGAGCGCGAGGCCGAGAAATTGGCCACAACTTTGTAGTCCTTGCTTGGCTAACGGGACTTAGGTAATACCAATCACAATCATATCTGGCACTGATTGGTGCTTAACAAGATTCGTGGCTTGTATGAGGCAGTGTCCTATTTCCCCAGTGTCGATGGGAGCATTCGACACCCCTGAAGGTCTTGGGTGAGCCTCAATGCATTGAAGCCCGACGATGGCGGCTATGACATCATCAGTGATGTTCCTGAGAGATAAAACCGAGCAAAGCTGACTTTAGCCTCCTTGAACGCAATACACTTAGCGACCTTAGAGTGTTGGTAAAGCTCCCGTTAAGTAGGTAGGCGGTGCTTTGGAATTTGGCGACCATTATTGAACCTTCTGATTGACAGCACTTGTTCAATGTGTGAGGTACACTCAATAAATAGGGAACATGATGTGAAGGGAATATCCGAAAACAGTTTATTGCGAATGGACTCTCACCCAGTAGTCTGTTGGAGTTGGCCAACAGCTACTAGACCCCAATATGTAGTCCAAAAAAAAAATGCGGCACTAAGGCCAAACATGAGCAGAAATCATATGTGCTGGTAAGAAGTGCATTGCTATATACGATGATGTTGTGCGTCCTGGATCAAGAATATCAAACTGCATATAATATGCTCGCTCACCCGCTCATTGACATCCTGATGTATAAAGTCTAGCCAAGTGTCATTTCTGAAGTGACGCATCTCATGCCGTCTTATCGGGTATCAAATATGTTCGGCCACCTCCAGGCTTCCACAGGTGATGAAGTTCCTTGACGCCTTCGATGACGAGGCCATCGCCTACCCTCCGCGATCGAGTGATTATGACCATAGCACAATTGTATACGTCGTCCAATGCCTCGCTACTTCGTTCTTGCAGCGTTTCGTACGCTAACAGCCATATAGCCTCGAGCTTATGCTTCTCGCCCAAGCTCTTTTGAGTCAGATGTACCAAGCATGCCATGAACTCCCGCAAGATGCTCTGACTTGCGACGTGGTTGAAGAAAGCCATTAACCCGAGCGCCCAGCTGAGAAGCAACGGAGGTTCGTCGAGCAATACTCCTGGTAGAGGACTGTTGACGAGGTCAGTGAGATCGCACAGATGGGCCGTTCTGTGGGTGGTGAAACGTTCAAGTGGCAGGACGAGGACATCCCACAAGAATCTTAGGCTCTCAATATAGTCAGTGGGGCGGGCCGTTGTACTTGGGTAGTCTTGATAGCCGTCTTCCCAGACATCCGTCGGCCACAGATCATCGATATAAAAGGTGAGGCCATCGAGCAGTTCCTTCTGCTTTGTGTTGGATCTCGGGAGTGGCATCGGTATCGAATCTGGAGGCGGTGATGGGGAAGGGGTTCGTGATGCAACTTCCCCCGCCGCGATGACTGTAGGACAAGCGCCATTTTCGAATCGTTCAACAACATCTGGCTTCCGCTTCAAGTAAGCCTGAAGCTTGCGGGAGTCGACTTTGACTCCTCGGATGAAGAACTCGGATGTCTTGTTCTCGAGAGAGCGTTGCTGCTGGGAGTGCAACAATGAGAGGACATGCTCTGTCTGGAAATTCTTGCTCAGACCCCATTTCTTGAACCGCGCCTTATACATGCGAGATCTTTCAATCTGCTTGTTAGCCTGGAGATTGGGTGACGATCGCAAAAGCACTGGCTTTGGCATACGTGGCATAGAAGTTGTGCTGCTTCTCCAAGATTTGTTTGACATCCTTTAGCGACATCTCGCGATAGAGCTGAGTCAGTAACGGTCGGATTTGTTGCCAGTCCTCTTTGCTTGCCCATCTTGGTGCGTGTCCTTGTTGCGCCATCGTGGTGACAGTTGCTGTACTGGTTGCTCGTGAATGGACTTAACACTCCCTCAATGGGAAGTGAATATGCTGATATGGCATCGGGGGCTTGGCTTTTAACGCTATGAACCCCCTCATGGGGGAAGGGGGGGGGGGGCGAATGCCAAAGCTGATAGACTGCGTGTTGAAACAGACAAGGCTGCGGTATGCTTAGAGTTTACCAGCTCGAGCATAAGACTGGCCCCCCTGTTGAACCTGTAGGACTCCCTGGCAGGACTGTCATGCTCCTACGGTGGTGTACTTCTGTGTCACATCCTGCAAATCATTGGCAAGAAAGACATCAAACTGTACAGTACATGGCCAGGACAAGGACATGACTGGATGGACGGAAATTAGCCATGACAGACCCGGAAGTCAATGCAGGGCATGTCGATAGCACGATAGACTCGATCCTGCATAGTGCGGCCCCCAAACGGTTGGGCCGCACGGCATTCCCGGAACCCCTCATCAATAAGGCTCGCCTAGGAAGTTCTGGATTGCTTAGTTAACGCAATCTTGGGGGCCATAGACTCGTGTACATCGCACTGATCTTGTCTGGGGCTTCTGAGAGCCGCCTCTAGTCCGTGATAAGTTCCAGTTTGCGGGATAGTTCTGGGGTGGCTGGCTGCAGACACTCGTTTGCCGCTTCTGACCACCCTTTTGAGACTTGATTGAGGCTCCCCAACGGTCCCCTTGGGTGCGCAATGTATGAGTTGGCGTTGCTGGGGCTCTTCCAGCCAGTGCCATCTTGGGTTGTCTTGGTTGTGTGCCCTAGCAGCGATGATCGTCAAGGAAATCCAGGCAGCTGAAAGTGACGTTCAGTGAGGTAAAGTGACAGGACAGTAGCAACATGTCGTTGAATATGTCATCGACCATATTGGGAGCCCGGCCGTGTTGATCACACCCAATCCGGACTGTGTGATCAGACGTGCCTCGCAACTGCTGTTTGTGGCTTTTGGGTGGCTGTTCCTAATCCAGGGTGGAGGAGCGTCTCATCACAGCCCAGCTGAGGCAGCGCCTTGAGAGAATCCGGCTCAGATTGACGTCTTCGAATCCTCTGCCTCTCATCCCTCTGGATTGCCGCCATTACCTTTAGCATCAGAGATGAAGGAAATTAGGCGACCACTCTAGCGGGAAGCTGTTAATCGCCGCAGTTCCGGAGAAGGACGCCAGCGGCACTTTCCCAATTCCCACCTGGAAAGCGCCATGCCCACGACATCCCACTAATCACGTGGCCGTGACGTAACTCGATTAAGGCTGACGCCTGCCGAGGCGACTTTTGTTTGTTGACTGACAGAGGGATGACTTGAGGTTCCATCGAGGGAAGGATCGATCGATAGATAGAAAAGCTAAAGCTGTCTGAAACATCCAAGCTCAACATGGAGATGCCTTCACTTCTGAACTGTTCTGCTTAAGCAAAATAATTCGTTGTTTTGTGGTCTTTTGTTCCTCTGCGGCCGTTTTAGGCTTATGATTAGCTTTAAGCTTCCCATCACGTAGCTAAATCAAGGCTATTTATCCCGTCTTTCCTCCTACCAGGGTATCCCGAACGAACCGCGCACCCGGGTTTTGACCCTGTTAACGACGCCCACACGATCCCGATTCATAATGGCGACGGCTGTTGAGCCCGCATCCAACGGGGCATATGATCACGTCTTGAGACCGCGACCGCGGAAGCCAGTGCATTCACAGCTGTCGCATGTTAGCAACTTGTCTGACGAGAGCAATGGGCACCTTGACGTACCTGAGAACGGCGCCACCACCGGCATGACGAGGTCTGTCTCCTTTCTCCCACCACTCCTCGATATACCAGCTAATATGTTCGTAGCGGACGCTCAACACCGGTACCAGAAGATGCACCACCATCAGCAAAGTCACTCTCCTCCGCTCGAAAACAGGTCCGCGCCGAGCAACGGCGGCGCATCTTTCCGACCATCGAATTCGCCTCACGAGTGTCGCACTTTGATCCCAACTCCGATTATCGAGATTTCCATGGCTTCTTTAATCTATTTTGGATCGGGCTGGCCATTATGGCTATCACATCCATGCTACGCAACATCAAAGAGACAGGAAACCCCATGAGAGTACAGATTTGGGGCTTGTTTACCATAAAGCTATGGCATCTCGCACTCGCGGACTTCGCCATGGTGGCTAGCACGGCGGTCTCATTTCCACTCCAGAAGGTCTTCCGTCGAGCTCAGTCCGGAAGCGCGATGACTTGGGGCAAGGGCGGTATGGCGTTACAGAGCATCTACCAGGTGGCGTGGCTGACACTGTGGGTTGCGCTGCCGTTCATCCTTGAGTGGACATGGACGGCACAAGTCTTTTTCTTGCTGCACACAATGGTGCTGTTGATGAAAATGCACTCCTATGCATTCTACAACGGACATCTATCGGAGACTCAGAAGCGTCTCCAGGATCTCGACAATCCGTCTACGGCATCCAAAGAACCCGCCTACTTCTACCCAACTCCCGACAATCCGAGTGGCACTGTTGTTAGCCCTAGGCGGGCGGAGTCTGCAGGCAAGGGATTGGGAACCGGAGATGATGACGAGGTTGTGCAACTACGTGAAGATCTTGCCCGTGAGCTCACGAGCCCCATGGGCAATGTCACTTACCCGCGTAACCTGACGTGGTCAAACTATATCGACTATCTCTTGTGCCCTACGCTCTGTTATGAGCTGGAGTACCCCCGCAACGAGTCCATCGACTGGCAGAACTTGATCTCCAAGATAATTGCAGTGTTCGGCTGCATCTTCCTCCTGACAATCATCTCAGAGGAGTTCATTCTGCCTATCCTAGCCGGCTCATCCGCGCGTCTGGCCAGCCAGCCCAGTGCGACAGAAACGCTGCTGATCCTGGCCGAGTCGGTCTCCTGGCTGCTCTTCCCATTCATGCTGACCTTCTTGCTCGTCTTCCTGGTCATCTTCGAGTACGTGCTTGGCGCCTTCGCGGAGATCACCCACTTCGCCGATCGCCATTTCTACAGCGACTGGTGGAACAGTACCGACTGGATGGAGTTCTCGCGCGAGTGGAATGTGCCCGTGTACAGCTTCCTGCGTCGCCACGTCTACTCTGCCAGCCGTTCCCACGTCGGCAAGCCCCTGGCCACCGTCATCACCTTCCTCATCAGCGCCGTCGGCCATGAGATCGTCATGGCATGCATCACCAAGAAGCTGCGCGGCTACGGCTTCGTTTGCCAGATGCTGCAGCTGCCCATCGTCGTGCTGCAGCGCACAAAGTGGGTGCGCGGCAAGAAGACGCTCAACAATGTCTGCTTCTGGTGCTCCATGATCCTGGGCTTGAGTCTGGTAAGTCATTCATTTCGTTCAATTATGAGACTTGTATCGATCCTAATGCTAACATGAGATGAATAGATCTGCTCGCTCTATGTTCTTGTCTAAATCAGGTAAAATACAAACCTAGAAGGGCAATCTTGATTACCCATGTATTTATAGATAGATATACATTGCGCACATCTTCCCCTCGGCATCTTCCTCTCGTTTCGAAATATCGGGACTGGTTGCACATACAAGTATCCGCGTTTTCCTACAAACATCAAGTCAGGCGGCGTTCTGTTCTTTCCTGTACTATACCCACACATTATCATTAGCATACTCTCCAGCGATGGTTGTTTGCACTCAAGGTGCGGCAATACATGCATCAACATCATCATTAGTAGATGGCAAATAGAAAAATCAAGTCATGATAAGAACAAAAACCACACTTGTGCAAGCTGAGACAAATTTGTTTCTGATAAAAGTATACCAGATGGTCATGAGTTCTCATTGATGCTCATAAAACTAGCTAGCTACCACAGCAAAACATGGTAGATAATCTAGGGTGGTCATTGGCCTTAGGATTGCCCTCTCCAATGCTTTCCCAGCGGACCGCAGCACAAGGCTGTCACACAACAAGCATCTCGCTCCAGCCTCCCGAGACACAGAAGAGTCCGAGTCTCAGAAAAGACCAAAGCCGAGGCGCTGTTTTGTGCGTCCACAATGGACGAATCGTCAATTGCCCCCCCTCTCCTTGCTCTGCTCTAAAGAGTGTTGACGCTGTCCTGCCGCCCTCTGTGCCCGAGAACGCCAAGAATGATATAAACGAATGAATGACGATGCCCGACATTATAGCCTCCCTCTTCCCGTAGCTATGCAAGTTTCTGTTGTATATGTATGTGGGGGTATCCGCCCAAGAAGATACATCGTCATATAGCAATGTGTTGTTTGCGTACATTTGGCTGGACGATCAAGCTCTGGGACACCGAAATGCACAGATAAGGGACGCGAGGGCTGAGTTGGTGTGAAGGTTTGAGGCCAGGTCAAAACTCAATAGGCGGCCACAAGGCTGCACTCGGTAGCTATTGATTCGCGGTGAATCGTCGACCTGACCGAGAAGCGGCCACGTCACCTTTCGAGGCCAATATATTGCGACCAGCCCCCCGAAGCAGGCGTCCCGCTCCTTCCAGCCTTTTGTCGATCTGCACCGTTATGCAGGCCAATTTTTCGGGACCATTCCGCGCCACTCGTCCTCGGGTCTCATATCTCAGCGTCTGTATGTCCTAAAGCCGACGTCCAGCCTATGCAGCCCCAATGTCATGATCGTTAGATAACACAAAATGGTTCGTTACTGCTGTATTTCATGAAATGTCTCGTTCATGTCCAATAGTAGAACCAAGAAAAGTAGAAAGACCCCGATGCGCCAGAAGAAAAGATGTACCCATGAATACCAAAACCCAAACTGACTGATGAAAACGCCAAGATATAGAGAGATTGATGTCTTCACATATATGATGATGGAAAAAAGGACGGACTACCGCATCACATCATAAAAAAATTGTACAACCCGACAACAGATGCGTTCGAGTCCTTGAGCGCCAGTCACATATTCGCACAACTCGGCGAAAATGCTAGGCGCTCGCACCGTGGCGTCCCATAACTCGGGGCAATGACGAAGGTGGCCCCTGAATTTGTGACACGGGTAGCAGTTAAGTCTGACCAGTGACTTAAGGTTGAGACATTTTTAGCCACAAAATGTCGCGCACGGCACCTCGCGTTGTGCATATAAGCGCAGGCGTAATTTAATACGCATGCGCATATTGCTGTGTGTACGGGGCTTGAGAGTGTGGCTGGTTCGAGTATCTGACGTCGTCCTCTGTGAACCGCTTTGCGGTGTAGACCTGCTCAGGTCTGTATTGCTGCGCAACCTTGACTTTAGGGAAGCTGCCGCTATTGGGGTAATATTCGTCATAGCTTGATACACGAGGTTCCTCCTTGTCGACGTAATATACTTTCACATTGGGTTGGGCTTTGCTGCTGCGGTGATGCCCACTGCTTCGCGGGGGAAGATCATCCTCAGGATAGCCGTCGAAGGAATTTCTCCTTCGTCGCTCTGAGTGTTTGGCATACTTGTCAGGCAGTGGAGCTGCAGGGGCTTGTGGCGGTCCCCTGTCGCGTGCATACTCTGGCTGCATTGTCTGAGCCCGATGCATCGTGGGTATCCGGGGTGGTGCAGCAGATGGAGGCTGAGCCATAGTCCCTGGAGGTGAAGTGTATGATTTTCGTAGACTCGGAATCGGCGGCTCACCACGCGGCGAGACACTGATAACGTCAGGGCCTTTGTGCATAGGGCTACCGGAGTCAATAATGACAGGATCGCCTTTGGCAGCATACTTGGCGTCATGGGAGCCTCGTCGCGGCGGTCCAGTCCATGTTTCCGGATCGGGATATGCCGAGGCGTAGTTCGGTACTGGCGGCTCGCCATATGGCGATGACGGCACCTTGCTGACTTTTCTGCGAGCCATATCCATGTAATCCGCTGCGAAAGCAAGCGTATCTTGCAGCTTCTCCTCCCGTGCAACACGAGGTGTCGAGCGGTCCCGCTCCTTTCGGGAAGACTTATCCCGTGGCGGGCTCTCAGCGTGTTTCTTGCTGCTTGACGACGACTTCTTGATCGACTTTACCGGGATCTCATCTTCCGACTGGGAGTAGGGCTCGACGTAAGCAGGTTTTGACTTCGACCGATGCTTCTCCTCTTGTTCTCGTCTTCGAGCCTTGTCGCGCTCCTTTTCACGCTCCCTTTCTTGGCGTTTCTTCTCTTGCTTCATGATTTCCTTTTCTCGGCGTTCAGCCTCGGCTCTTTGTCTCTCCTTCTCTTCCTTTCTCTCTCGTTCTCTCCTCTCCTCCTTGCGTCTCTCCCTCTCCTTCTCTTTGAGATATTCTTCCCTTTCCCTCTCACGCTCTTCGTCTTTCCGACGCCTCCGCTCTTCCTTGAGGTCCTCTTCTCGCGGCTTTGACTTTTCATAGCTGGCAGCTCGACGAGCCGTCTTTTCCTCAAATGCCGGCTGCTTTGAAGGGCGATGGGGCATATCCCTGCTCTCCCACGATTGTGAGAAATGAGGTTGAGGATAAGGGTTGTAAGCCTTGGTCGGGGGAGGGGGTTGGGGAGCGCTGAACGACGCCGCCGGTGGCTCCGCAGTTCGAATGTTGACATTGTAGTACTTCTTGGGCGGTGTCCCGGCGGCAGGACCGTTCTTGTAGAGCTCTTCCCGTAACCTCCGTGCCTTGACCTCAAGGTCGTATTCTCTCCTCTTGTCCTCATCGCCGAGGATTTCATATGCTTGTTGCACCTTTTGGAACTCCTCCTGTTTGACGGCCTTTAGAGCCGGGTCTAGGACCTTGTCGGGATGACATCTCAAGACCAGTTTCCTGTATGCAGTCTTGATGGAGGCGGGATCAGCGCTCGTGTCTACGCCCAGGGCCTTGTAGGGATCTGGTGGTAAGGGAGCGTTCATCTTGGCGGTGGAGTCCAAGAGTGTGGAGAAAGAGTCGCCGTTGTCGTAGTCTGTCGACAAGACTGCCGGACAGCAGCGAAAGAATAAGGCCTCAGTGTTGTCGCCGTTGTAGTTGCGGAAGTATCGTGATCTCTGATGAAGACCACGACGCTACTGGTGGATCAACAGACAGTGGTCGGCAGGATGGGGGCCCAGCACGTGTTACGGCTGGGGAAGGGGGGGTGTTGGCCAAGCGAAGGGGGGATCGTGTGATGGTGACGTGCCGGACGTGTGACGATGGATGAGACTGCGTTGTGAGGTGGTCGCTGCTCTGGGCTGCATCCACCAAAACCGATACACAATCAAATCAAATGGCGCAGAGCGAGATAGAGGGGAAAACAGAAGGCCGTTCCTGAGGTCGTGGGCTGCTGTTGTCAGCGTTTTGTTGAGGCGGCGACCGAGCGAGTGGGCAGGCTTATAAGAGGGGGCGAAAATGCAGAAAAGGCTGGGGCCAGCTGAAGAGACGGCAGGACGAAGTTGACAAAGAGTGAGGAATCATGAGGTAAGGTAAGGCAAGGCAAGCCAATGCAATGCAGATAGTTGGAAGTGAAGAGAAGACGAAAACAATCGGTCTAGAGTGTTCGTTATGGTGTGGATTGGTTTGGTGACGGCGGCTGTCGGGGATCGCCTTGTGCCAAAGGGACGGACGACGAGGGAAGAAGCGTGAGAGCGAGTGGAGGGCGAGGCGCTGAGGTGATGAGATCACTTCGGATCGCCTGGCGGCGGCGGCACGGAAAGTGAGAGAAGGCCCGTCGTAGTAGCGTAGGTGGTGGGCGGGAGCGAGGCTTGAAGGGGGGTGGTGGCTAGAGTGTGGTGGGTGGTAGGGGTTGGGCTGGCTGGTACAGTACGTACAGTACAGTACAGGGCTCCAAAGGAGGGTAGGTAGAGAAAGTGCCCAGGTGGTGGGAGAGCTGATGATTGATGGATGCTAGTTGGGTGGGATGGTATGGTCTGGCATGGGATGTGGATGTGGATGGGGGGAAAGGAAAGAGCGACTTACACTAATAATTAAGTTAACTAAACACCTAACAATAGTCAAGTGAGGTAAGTACCCTCTCCTCAAGCACTCCTGCTGACTTAGAGGATGAGCAATGGATCAACAACCTAAATGGAAGGAAGGCGGCGCTGCTGGACGGCGGAACGGGGAGGCACGACCCAGAAGAGGGCCCTCAAAAGCGGAGAGCGTTCTTTCCTCAGCACGCTGACACAGTACCAGTAGAACTAGGCTAGCCTTGACTCTCCTCTCAGAGAGAAAGAGTCCACTGCGTTACGTGGAGGAAGGCGTGCCAAGATGGCCCGTGTCGGAACGCTAGAGAGGTCTGGAGTGAGACGAGTGACTTTGGAGAAAGACCTCAGCCACCCCTGGGATTTCGACCTGGATCTGGTAAGGATGGAGATAGCGTTATGGCTTACAGATCCGTCCGTCTTTCGTAATGCAATGCGAAGCAAAGACAAAGCCGGTCGGTGGTAGGTATATTCGTGTTCTGGTGCTGGTGCTGGTGACGAAGATGGTGATGATGATTATGTCGTTCGGAGAATATCGCGATGCAATGGCGGACCTCCCTCTTATTCTGTCGGCTTCTGTCGCCCTTTTTCGGTCTGTCTGTGCCTGTAATACTGCCTGAATTCACGCTCGACGTGCGGAAATGCACCTGCGTAGGGGGTGATAGGCCAGGAGCAGGAGCTGATTCGGCAATGCCCACTGGCTGCAAGTGCGAGAAGTGTGTGTGCAATGGCTGCGAGGCACCTCTTGGGCGGTAAGGTAATGTAGTGGAAGGGCAGAGTAGGCCCAGGCAGAGTTGGTAAGGTAAGCCGGCTCCTTTTTCTGCAGGTCCTACACACCCTCTTCTCTTTGCTTCGCTCGCGGTCTTATGTAATACAGGGGGACACAAGATCTTCCGCCAGGAAGCACACAGGTTTGAGTCTTGCTTGGTTGCGGCTGGCTTGTGATTCGACTCGCTGGGAGGATCAAACAGAAATTGTCGAATGAATAGACAGATACCAGCCAGACAAGAAACAAGCAGAGTAAGAAGCAAGACCGGTTATGAAGCAATGAGTCTTGTGTCTCTCCGGGATGACACACCACACATACGCACACGGGTCCGTCCTATGCTTGGGTGAAACCAAAAGACACAGCTAATTGAGGATGATGGCGGCGATGACGTCGCGGAGAAGAAAGATATAGGCAAGAAAGGTATCGGTAGCACACGTAACAGCTGCGACAGGTAGAAGCTGGCTTGCGAGTCTGACCTGAGGCGGTTGACGTCGATCGCGTTGGCCATGCAGAGGAATGAGAGGCAGAAAATGAAAGCAGAGCAAGTGTCAATGATGAACGGATGCTTTGCAAGAGCGGACTAGGGGCCGAGAATGGAGATCCAAGAGACAGACAAGCACTGGAACCGGATGGATTTGATCGGAATTTGCCAATGTCGATGGCGAATGCGTTATGTGGTGTTTCGTGGCCTAATTAATGACGACCTTCTCTGCGTCTCTGCGTCTTTGCTGCAACGCAATTCTGGGGTTGGCTGCTCTCGTGCACGCGTGTCTCCAGCAATTGGACAGGTACCTCTGTGGTGGCTGGGTGGTGGTGGCAATACCTCTAGCGGCAAGTTGCGAACGAACCGAGGTCGCCTCTTCAGGTCGCCTCTTCAGATTGCGAGGTCGTTAAGGATTGAGTAAGTAGTTCCTGGCGAGAAATAGAGAAATGACTGAATTGGTTTGGAGTTCGAATGTCGAAGGTCAGAGCATCAACCAAAACAGTCACGAAGCGGAGCGAGAATGGATGGCAGAGCAACTGAATGCCTGCTCACTCGCTCTCGTTCTGCCTCGTGCCACCTGCAGCTAAACTACTAACTCGAGTTAAGCCCCAGGGCGTTGTAGCAGATGCTGTTTCCGTCGGCTGCGGATGAGGTAATTGGCAATGGCGGTGTGTAAGAGCACGGTGATCCTCGCGCGGTTGGCGGCTGGAGCTTGTGTCTCGTCTGGCGTCTCCAAATGTGGGCAGGGTATGTAGGTACTTTGCCGTGTTCGCCGACTCCTCTCACTTGTTTGTTTCCTCGGTCAAAGGCTCAGAACTCAATACAACGTGTCGTGAGCACTACAATCCGTATGACTCAGGATTGATGATGAATTGGTTGTCAACAGTGACGAATAATGAGTTGGACGTTACTATTTCGGCGTGAGCGAAGGTGCGGCTGCAGCGGGCTTTTTCGTCGTTTGTAGTTGCTTGACTCTTTCGGAGTAATAGTCAAAAGTCAGCAGCTCTCAGTCAGTCAACGCGCCAAGTGACCCAGGGAGGATGACATGAACCGAGCAAACAGGTCACTTTCGTACAGCTTTGGCCAACAGAGCAAGGCAGGAGATCTTCTGCCCAGAAAGGAATCAAAACAATCAAATCAATAGATTGACACAGGGCGGGACGCGATAGTCGGCCGACAATCTGCTGTTCACGGCCAGAAAAAGAAGCCCACGTTAGAGCTGTCCTGTTCACGAGGCCTCTCGTATGAGGGGGGAGTAGCTTGGTGCGGATATCTAAGGACTCTTAGCTGCAGCTTCAAGAGGGTCCTCAGGAGCGACAGACCCGTCCGCTAATGTACTCTACGGCCGGGGGGTTTACGACTCGGCAGGGCATACTATCGTCGCCAGAACTAAGAATAATAACTACAACGCGCAATTGCCTGAGTTCTGAGGTGTTCGGTTGCTTTCAAGGGGAGCTATTGCTGTTACTCGTCCGTTACAGTCCACACACACTCGAAAAGACCAGCTCCGCTTCCCCAGCTCGGTGTAAGTGGAGAGAGTGTGTCTGCCCACGCGTAGCGACTGGCTGTAGCAAGCAGGGTAAATGGTCTGGTTGTCCACTTGTTAACTCGAATTCAGAAAAGAATCCGATCGAACGCTTTGGCTTCTGATATCGGCAGCAAGTCGTGCATCTTCTGGTTCACCAGTCGATAACTGTGCCCCTTTTCTTTCGCCCGGCTCCTGCACCAGGACCCGGGCTGCTCGTGGTCTAGCACAGGTCAGGCCGTAAGCCTCGCCTACCTCGTCTCGCTGAGTCGCTGAATTCTTGCAGCAGTTCGTCAGCAACGACATGAAGGTCGTCACCCTGGTTGTGCCCACCGAACGACACAGACACAGGTCAGGCACGGTGGGCCGCAGTCAATCGCCCGTCGCCCCGTTCACGTTCATGCCCGGAATGCAGTGAATCTTGATAGCGAAGGCATGATTGTACCTAGTTGCCCCATCCAGAGGCGTGCACGTAGCCAGCATGGCATGGGAGCTACTTGGCCGCAGCCGTGTGGACTTCGTCAACAGGCTATTCCCTTTTCACTCACGTGCAGCTCGTGAGACTCTCCACATTGCTGGTTATAGGCAGTATTGGCCGCACTCAGCGCCGAGGTCGCCCTCTCGATGTCTACTAGCTGCTATCTTTACTGCTTCAAGAATCGAGTCTAGCATGGGGGCTGCGGTCGTGGCCAGAATGGCCAGCTGGCCGGCCACATAAGAGGTGGTCTGCTGTCAAATGCTTTGCCATGATCAAGCCTGAGGTGTCGACGCCGTTGCTTGGGGTTTTGGGCTGATGACACCATCCGTGACCTGGAGCAATAAACTACTGCAGTTTCTGTCACATACAGATTGATGGACGTGATACTTTGGATGGCCCTTCGAGCAGGTTACTGGCCGACTGAGCGGTCCTGCGACCTCATCGACGACCTCAACGCAGGTACTGAGTCTTACGACAGGCCAAGGTAGATTCAAGTCGACCACCCACTACGGCCATCAACATGGTGGCCCGCGTGCGCTGCCGTTACTAGAAAGTGGAGGGCATCAAAGTATCAGTTAGAGATGGCTACGGCCAGTAAGACCGTCGAGACCCTGCTGAATCCATAAAGGTTGTCTCAGAAGGCTTCACTCAAGAGGGTGGTGTTAGAGACTGCCTTCCAGATTCTCGGCGCACCTGGCTC